GCTTCTTTTGTTCAAGGATGGCACTCTACCACTTGAGCCAGAGCACCATTTTTGGCTTTTTCTGTTTTTGTGGGACTGAGGTAGCAAACCCAGGGCTTCATGTATGCTAGGCAAGTACTCTGCCACTAAGTCACATTCCCAGCACTGAACTAATTTTTCATTTAAAAATGTACATTTACCATTTGTTCTTGCTACACATTTTTATAATGCTATTAAAACTTACATAAGAAATTACAAAATATTATTTAGAGCTTGTAAAAAGAGCCCTACTGTTACTAGCTTTATGTATTTTTCCATTATTTTTGTAAATGTTGGAGCAGGTTAATTCTTTTTTCTTTCCTTCAGCCTCTTTCTTTTGTAGCAATTATCCTTTTTCTAGCCAAAGTATTAGGAAACAGAGACAATCTTCCTTTTAAATCAAATGACTAAACTCAAACCAATTAAGATTTCAGAGACACAAGAATCAAGGAGGTTTTAATCTCAACTTATATTTGCATTTATGACCATTGCCTCTCCAGAGGGAGAGCTGGGGAAAGTTGACCCCTACACCTTGGTTTCAGGTTGAAGACAATCGACACGGAATAGTTTAACATAAAAGGCTTTTTTTGCGTTAAACACCTTTTTGGAAAGGAGCATACAATCCTTAATCAAAATCCTGCCAATTTGCATTGTTCATTGGGGAATAGGCTTTCAAAAGCCAAGGAACAAAAGAGGATTTGGTTTTCCAGTCTCCCCAAAGCAGCTAACAAGAGAAATCAGAGTACTGTACACATTATCGAGGTGTGTGTATATGAGAGAGATCGAGATCTGTTACACACTATTTATAACAACAGGAGCATCAACAGATGCACTGAATCGACCTGCATGCTCCCAATCCCATTTATCTCCTCCCCACCCCAAACTGGGATACAAAGAGGATGGGAGGAGGGGACTAGAGCGAGAGAAATGCAGCCACCTATGCAGCAGCCCCCCAGAGAAGTCCCTGGAGGTCCTGTGCCCCCCCAGCACCGGGGTGGGGGTTGGGGCGCCCTGGGGCTCGCCTGCTGGGGTAAAGGTGCAGGAGCTGGGTTCTGGCTTCGGTGATGTTTACTCAGTAGGCTGGTAAAAGGGCTGAGGACCCATTAGGGTCAGGAAAGCAGGAGAGTCTCTGTGACCCGAGAACCCCCTGCGGAGCCATGGCAGTGCTAGCATGAAGGCAGGCTTGGGGAGGAGGAGAGCCTAGTGCGGGATCACGCGTGCGCGCCCCGAGCAGGTGCATCGGTGCCTCCTCCCTCTCCTTTCCCCTCCGCAGCAACAGCGCATGCGCCAGTCTAGGCGAAGGTAAAGCTGAAGCGGGTGAGCTCTCCCAATCAGAGCCCGGCGTTCTCCGAGTACGGATCCTGGAGCTGCCGGCACCGGGCAGTGGGAGGCGGGAAGCTAGAGGCTGGTGGCAGGCGGCGGGAGCAGAAGGCGGGCCCCACGGCTGGTGGGGGGTTGGGGGACGTGAGACTTGGGCATAGCCTGGAAGGCCCGAGAAAGTCCTAGAAGCTGTGTGTGAGGGAAGTTCCTTCTTTCCTCTGCCCCCGGAAGTGGCTGTTATAAACTTCACCTGCGGGGGTCGGGGTATTCCCCCCCTCCCTCTCCAGGCTCCTAGAGGCCCTCAGGTTCCAACAGTTTTCATTAGGGGCCTCCTACTCAGAGGCTGGGAGCTGCCTCTGGGGTCTAAGGACCTCTGGACCACAAAGCCCCCAGAGGTAAAGGGCTCGACTGGGACGGGAGGTGTGGAGCGGAGCCATGGGGGAACCGGGGGTCCCCCGGGCTGGTTTGGGCCGCCGTGTAAGAGTGTAAGAGTTGCAAAGTGCAGACTAGTATTAAAATCGTTCAGGAAGAGTAGTTCGTTAAGCAGGACACCGGTGACTCACAAGTAGCTAAGATTCTAGCTACTAAGGAGGCTGAGACTGGAGGATCGCAGTTCAAAGCCAGCCCCGGGCACGAAAGTTCATGAGACTCTTACCTCCAATTAACCACCAGAAAAACCGGAAGTGGCGCTGTGGCTCAAGTGGTAGAGCGCTCGCCTTGAGCTGAAGAGCTGAGGGACAGCGCCCAGGCCCAGAGTTCAGGCCTTACCACAGATAAAATAATAGTAATAAAAATAGTTTGTCATACAAACTAGCATACTGAAATATATCTGATTTGCAGCACAGAAAGATTAAGTGTACTTATTTTGTTTTTCTTTGTGTATATGCCTATCCCAGGGTTTGAATTTAGGGCCCAGATACTACCAAAGCTTTTTTTTTTGGTATGTTTTTAATTGTAAAAATGCTGTATAGACAGAGGGGTTACAGTTATATGAACAAGGTAATGAGTACACTTCCTATTGATCATTGTTGCCTCCACCTTTGTTTTCCCCCTACCATCCCTTCCCTCCCACCTCCACAACTATCCCCTTCACCCCCACCGAAGTTGTAAAGTTCATTTTTCAACATAATGTTTTGTACATCTCATTGTTACAATGGATCAACCTGTATCCTTCTTTAATCATTTTGTTTTTCCCTTTCCCTTCTCAAATTAGAGAAGTATATATACAAGATGCAGGGCACCCACGTCAAATACAGTGAAAATAGGGGTATACCGTGGGGGAGGAGCATACAAAGCAACAAAAAAAATCACATGGTACATTATAATTACATTAGAAACAATAGCAAGAAAGAAAAAAGATATTTGTGTCTCTATCTTGGGGTTCATTTCTTTTTTTTTTAATTTTTATTATTTTGTGAACACACTGTACAGAGGAGTTACAATTACATGGGCAGGTTAATGCGTACATTTCTTATCAAGCATTGCAGCCTCCTTTGTTTACCCTTCACATCCCTTCCGAGCCTCCCACCCCCCACACTCCCCACCCAATCCCACCCCCCCACCCCCCACCCACCCCCGGGTTCATTTCTTTTAACATCATCTTATATGGTCTTATGTACATAGCTTTTGGCCTTTTCTGCTTGTCTTACACATCTACTAGTTATAATGGAAACCATGGGACCTATGTTTCTTTGGGCCCGGCTTACTTCACTTAATATAATTTTTTCCAAATCTTTCCATTTCCTAACAAATGGGGCAATGTTATTCTTTCTGATGGAGGAGTAAAGAAATGTTCAACCTCTCTAGCCATAAAAGAAATGCAAATCAAAACAGCATTGAGATTCCACCTCACCCCAGTTAGAATGGCTATAATCAAGAACTCTAATAACAACAGATGCTGGAGGGGATGTGGACAGAAGGGAACCCTACTGCATTGTTGGTAGGAGTGTAAACTTGTTTAGCCACTTTGGAAAACAGTATGGAGGTTCCTCAAAAGCCTCCACATAGAGCTCCCCTATGACCCAGCAATCCCACTTTTGGGCATTTACCCAAATGATCACAAGCAAGACCACACTAAAGCTACCAACACAACTATGTTTATTGCAGCATTATTTACCATAGCTAAAATATGGAACCAACCCAGATGCCCCTCAGTAAATGAATGGATCAAGAAAATGTGGTATCTTTATACCAGAGGTTTTTTGCTCAAGGCTAGCACTCTGCCACTTGAGCCACAGCTCCACTTCTGACTTTTTGGTAGTTAATTGGAGATAAGAGTCATAGACTCTCTTGGCCAGGCTGGCTTCACACCCTGAATCGTCAGATCTCTAAACCCTGAGCAGCTAGGATTACAGGACTAAGCCACCAGGGCCTCCCTGTTCTGCTACAGTTAATTGTCAGTTTAATGATGTCCAATGTTCTGTGTTCATAACATATTGGGAATTAGCAGTCTGAGTAACAGCAATGACTTTGAGAATGTTGGCATGTCTCTCTGCCCTGGTTCCTTCTCTTCCTAGCTCTGTAATTGTAATCTATTAAAATTGTATATAGTGCTACATAGTTCAAACCTTTGGGAATCACTTTGCCCTTAAGTGTATGTGCCTATCTAAAATGATACTGGGTTAAAAGTGCTGCATAGAGAGGCAAGTAATTGGAGGACCTGATCTAATAAAGTAATAACTAGAGAAAAGCTAGAACATAGAGCTCAACTATGCGTATTTGCTTGGTGAACTAGTACCGTCAACCTAAGCATAAAACTGACCTGTAAACATTTTTGAAACTTAATAATAATGGCATAATACACACACACACACACACACACACACACACACACACACACACACACTTGATGTAATGGTACATGTCTGTTGCCCCATCTCTTTGGGAAACTGATGCAGGAAAAAAATGAGTATAGTAGGCCCAATGAGTATTCATTAAAGAATGAAAAATGATATATTCTGGAATCCTTTGGGTTGAAAAAGTCTGTTTAATAAAGCCTTCCTAGCAAGGCACTAGCGGCTCTTGTCTGTAATCCTGGCTACTTAAGAGGCTAAGATCTGACCAAAAGCCAGCTCAGGCAGGGAAAAAAAGTCCCCATGAATTCATATTCTTACTTGCAAATAACCACTTAAAACAAAAAGAAAAACTGGAAGTGGAGCTGTGGCTCTAAGTCATAGAGCACTAGCCTTGAGCAAAAGAGCTCAAGGACAATTCCCAGACCCTGAGTTCAAACCCCATGACTGACAAAATAAATCTTTCCTATAAAATAGTGGAGGAAAATAAGATTATGTCAAAAAATATTGAGATTTTATAGTTTTTTTTATGTGTATGTACTCAATTCTAACATGGTTTCTGGGGTTTTTTTGAGGTGGGATGTCACTGTGTTGCCCAAGCTGGCCTCAAACCCATGATCCCCCTGCCTTGTCCTCTGGAGTAGCTGGGATTACATGCAGAGGCTATAGCATCCTATTACTAGTGAGCTTTTAAAGCTGCAACATCGAAGCTGTGACCAGATTACCTAGCTAAGGTACTCTGAGTAATTCTACAGTTAATCTCTACTTCAGCCTATTTATGAGCAACCTGTGTGTTCAAACTTGAGTTTGGTGTTTGAAAATATCTCTGAGAACAATTATTCTTTACTCTTTTAGATTTGTAGGTAAAAGATGGATAAAGAAAGATGCCAGAAAAAGTCTTTTCAGGATAGTCTTGAAAACATAAAGAAGCGAATGAAAGAGAAAAGGAACAAAAACTTGTCAGAGATCGGCAGACACAAGTTCTTCATAGCTGCACCCTGCCAAGTAATCAGTAAGAGGTTTTGATATTATCCTGTTACATCACTTTTTAAGTTTAGAGTTAATAACTAACCATTCTCATTTATCTTCTTCTAGACAACACTTCTACATTGCTGAAGAATTACCAGGACAACAATAGAATGTTAGTTGTAGCTTTGCAAAATGAAAAATTCAAAGTACGAGAAGCCGAAGAAGTGATACTACAGCTAAGAAAAGAATGCTACTACCTCATGTGCCAACTGTATGCATTGAAAGAAAAGCTCACTTCCCAACAAACAAAAGAAACAGTTCAGGTATTTTTATTGCAAATATTGAAAAAAAATACCCTATAATAAGCACTTTAGATCTTTGTTTGTTTGTGCCAGTCCTGAGGCTTGAACTTGGGGCCTGGGTGCTGTCCCTAAGCTTTTTGTGCTCAAGACTGTCCTCTACCACTTAAGCCACCTCCATTTCCTGCGTTTTTGGTAATTCGTTGGAGATAAGAGTCTCAGGGACTTTCCTGCTCAAGCTGGCTTCAAACCTTGATCCTCAGATCTTACCCTCTTGAGTAGCTAGGATTACAAATGTGAAACACCAGCACCCAGCAAATTCACTTATTTTTAAGTTAATATCTGACGTCTTTTTTAGTAGTAGACCTATGCTGTGGCACAGATGTGTTGCCAGTAAGGATATTTCAAGCATGTAGATGATTTTGAGGCTTATACCTGCCTGACTTGCTTCTTCAAGTAGGTAGCAAAGCCATGTGCAGAAGAAATACTGTTTTGCTACTCCTGGTCCTCTTTGAATGTTTCAAACAACTAGGCAACAACTAAAGGTCGAAGCCGATAGTTGAGGGACACTAGTCCAAAAGTTTCATCAAGGTTATCTTCATTTTTATGTGAACTTTTCTATGTAGTTTATTATCTAGTGGAGTTTTGTAAGAACTACTGTGTGTACAGTATATCTCCCCGGAACAGGAGTATTGAAGTGAAATATCAAATAGCTAAATAGGTAAGAATACATCTTAAATTCCAGGTAAGAAACCTTCTGAACATTTTAGTAGCCATATTTTTTTATTTGATTCTATTTGTGTCCAAGATTATAAAGAAGAGGTTCAAATATGGAACTGCTAGCCAAAAGACAACAAACATGGACAAAGTTTGTCTTAGGATATATTTTTTTGTGTCTTTTTGTTGGTTAATCCTGAGAAGAGTAATGATGAGCTAGTTCCTGCTTCCCTTTTCCCAGAAGCCACTGCCTGAGAAAGTACACAGGGCAGAGTACAAGAGAAGCATGTCAAGTGTCAACAGTACAGTTGATGTTCTCCCCAGCAGCCAGGTTTTTGCAGTGCCAGCAAATTTCATTGCATTGGTACTTATTCCAGCTGACCAGCTAAAAAAGCCTGTTGTGGGGCAAGCTTGAGAAAGGAACTCAAGTCACTGCTGTGATGATAAAAGTCAATAAAAGAGCTTATGATTCCTTATTTTAAGCATGTGATATAAATTATATAATATATGCATGTATATATGTACTTACGCTTTATGTGATATAAAAACAATACACAGATTGATTTCACATTTGTATAAGCGTTATTTAAATTTTTCTTCAATGTGTAATCTTTAATTTTTCTTTATTCAGTCAGTTGTAGGTGGTAAAATAGCTCACCAAATACATGAATCCTCCTGCTTACTTTCTAGTTTTTGCTGAAATCAAATGGAATAGTATAGATTGAATACTCAATAATACCACAAAACAATGAGGAGGAAATTCCATAATTATAGATTCTTTAAGATTTATCAACTTTTGGACTGGGAAGGTGGCTCAGTGGTAGAGTGTTTGCCAAGCTTGCATAAGGCCTGGGTTTGATTCCTCAGCATTACATAAGTGAAAAAGCCAGAAGTGGCACTGTGGCTCAAGTGGTAGAGCACTAGCCTTGAACTGAAGAGCTGGGGGACAGTGGCCAGGCCCAGAGTTCAGGCCCACGACCGACCAAAAAAACATTTATCAACTTTTTAGAACTCCTTAAAATACAATATTATATACTGAGCCGTTATAGTCTTGGCATTTGAAACAATGGTTTATTTTCTGTCATGTTCTTACTGTATTTGTCACACATTCCGAACCATCATTCTAAACTTGTACTTTAGTGTTCAAGTCAACTTAGCAGTGATGAGTAAGAATGTTTCTCTTGCCTATCAGAAATTAGCTTACCAATATTTTCTAATAATAATAATCATTTAAATAATATTGCTGTATGAATATTCTTCCTCTATTTATCTTGAAGAATAATACCATTTTCTAATTTCTGAAGAACAGTGTTAGCCAATATTAAAGTCAATATTGTACATGGTCATCAAGCTTCAAAAACCAGTTGAATGAAATTCAAATGCCTTCTTAGGAGTCACACTGAAACTCTCTTCTTATTTCTGCTTCTGTCTCTGTACGTGTCTTCCATCTCCCTTTGCTACAGTGGCTTCTATTGAAAGCCAGCCCCCTCTCCTTGTGCATCACATTTCTAGAAATTTATGTCTTCACTATATCCTCCTTTAAAGGAAAGGCAAATAAAACTTCTCCCCGTCATATCTCCTCATTTTTATTTTTGTTCAGAGAAGAATTTAAAAAACAAAACAACAGAAAAAATACATGCACTGTTAATTCCATTCTCGTTTCAAATCACTGATTTATGTAGGGCTTCTACTGCTACCATTCTATGTCAACATCAACAGAACCTCCACATTTCCACACTCTAGTCGCGTTAGTGACCATGCACACATGCAGTAGTATGCAACAGAACACTCTTCATCTGAAACTTTGTGTCTCTTGTCTTTCTTGGCATAAGCCCCCGCTAGCTTTCTGCTTGGCTGCTCTCAGTCGGTCTCCTTGCTGGTGGCCAACTTTAAATGCCAATTGCTCTACTCTCATATGCCATCTACTGGTAACTTTCAAGTCCATAACTCAAAACCTATGCACACACACACGGAGAACTGCTACTATATATCTCCACTTAAATAGTTGGAAAGCTTCTCAAGCAGAGTTTGTACAAAACACAATCCCATTTTTTTCTTTCCCAAACATATTGTATATGTTTTTTCCTCTCCATAATTCTTTTGGTCCGGTCGTGGGGCCTGAACTCTGGGCCTGGGCGCTGTCCCTCAGCTCTTCAGCTCAAGGCTAGCGCTCTACCACTTGAGCCACAGTGCCACTTCCGGCTTTTTTCTTTGTGCTTATGTGGTGCTGAGGAATCGAACCCAGGGCCTCATGCATGCAAGGCAAGCGCTCTACCACTGAGCCACCTTCCCAGCCCCATTATATTTATTATATATATCAAGCCTAGAATGAAAGCTTTAGGAGGATAGGGTTTGATTACTTCTCATCTGTCCTAGTCCCAATTCCTAAACTGCTTGATACTATAATGGACTGTTAGTAAGTAGATATGGTGAAAGAGTTCATTTGTTCAGTAATGCACATTTATAACTGTGTTTTTACACACTTGTACAATAGTACACAGTTAATTGTTTTCTTCTGTTTTAATACCATAACAGAACCAGGAGATATCTCCCTCTAAAATGGACTCCAGTGGTGACAGCAGTTCCTGTGATTTATCAGTGAAGGATTTACGGTTAGTATCAAATTTATTAGTATGGTTATACATACTGAGAAAGATTTAATTTTGTGATCCATTTACAAAAGAAAGTTTGTATCATGGAGTCTGATGCTATATCTAGAATGTATGTAAGAAAATTTGATGTGTTAAAATTCTGTATAGCCAAATGTGAGCTTTCTTTGTCTTATATTTAGTTACCTCTTCAATGTCCAGGTGACAGAAGCTTCACTAGATCTATTTTTTTGTTTTGTTTTTGTCAGTTTGGGGCTTGAACTCTGGGCCTGGGCACTGTCCCAGAGCTATTCAGATCAAGACAAGTGCTCTACCACTTGAGCCACACTGCCACATCTGGTTTTTCTGGTGGTTAATTGGAGATAAGAGTCTCGTGGACTTTGTTTGCCCAGGCTGGCTTTGAACCTTGATCTCAGATCTCAGCCTCCTGAATAACTAAGATTACAGGCATGAGCCACTGGCGCCCAGCTTCACTAGATCTTGTATGTTCATTTGTTCATTTTCTTGTGTTCTAAAACAAAGTCTCACAAGTATTCCTCTACCTTTTAAGTGCTAGAATTACAGGCATACACCACTGTGCATGCTCACAGCTTTTACTTTTGTTTGTTATTTACTTTATTCACTTTTTTTTACATACTATTGTTTGAACTTTGGGCCTTGCTCTTGCTGGGTAAGTATTCTACCACTTGAGCCATGCTCCTGCCCTTTTTGCTTTAGTTTCTTTTCAGATAGGGTCTCACTTTTGCCCTGTCTAGCCTGTCCCCATGGTCTTTTTTTTTTTTTTTTAATTCCCTCAGTAGCTTAGATGGATACCATTGGACCTAACTCAGAAATATTTTAAAACTAATTTTCCTTTAGTCATTTTTCCCTTATATGTACTGTTTTTATTCTAAGAAGCAATCATTAAAATGAAAATTTCCAATCTTAAAAATAATCTGGTTCAACCAGGCTTTGATGGCTCACATCTGCAATCCTAGCTACTTAGGAGGATGAGATCTGAGACTCACAATTCAAAGCCAGGCAGGGCAGGAAAGTCCATGAGACTTACTTCTAATAAATTACCAAAAAAGCCAGAAGTGGAGCTGGCTCAGGTGATAGAGCACTAGTCATGAGCAAATTAAGCTCAGGGACAATGCCCAGGCCCTGAGTTCAAGCCCAAGGACCAGCAAATAATACTAGTAGTCTGATTTAGGAAAAACTGTATAATAAAACATCACCTTTGGGGCTGAGAAGGTGGCTCAGTGGTAGAGCGCTAGCCTTGAGCTGAAGAGCTGACGGACAGTGCCCAGGCCCTGAGTTCAGGCCCACAACCAACAAATAATAATAATAATAAAGCATCACCTTTAACATATCTGTCACACTGTCTCATTGATCCAAGTCCTTTTTCTATCTGACCCCCCCCGCCGCCCACGTACCCTTTTCTCTTGGATCAAGTGTCTTTTATGGTTGTTATGAATTGCTGAGATTAGTTTAACTCATTGAAACCCAAATTGAATTATAATATGGAACTTTAAGCCAGGCCAATAATCCCAACACTTAACGAGGTAGAGGCTAGAAGGATTTCAAGTTCAAAGACAGCCTGAGTTTCATAGCAAGAGCCTGTTTAAAAAAAACACACACAAAAGAAAAACATGCAACATTGCTCTCAGTGCAGCCCAGGATTACTTACTCTTACCATGTGGCCCAGGTTTCTAAGCATTATGGGGTATATTAGTTACTGGCAGTACCAGCAACATGGTCCTGCCCCATGTAGAGAATGATTCCAAATATTGGCAGATAATCTCCTAGAAAGCATACTTGCTCCCAGGAGGACTGTTGCTATAGACAATTGCCTTTGTTGCTTTTAACTCCCTCCCCTCTCCTCACCAAGTACTGACAGAGACAATTTCTAACCCATAAGCTAGAGTGGGAAATTCTCTACAAAGAATGAAGTTATGAGTAGAATTAAGCTTCCTGTAATAGGTTTTGAATATTTAAAAAAATTGCTTCATTAATCTAAGACTGATTTTGTTTTTAAAGAGAGTGAATGTTAAACAGTTACAGAAGAGTTCAGTAGTTGAAACCATTAAAGCATTTTCACGAACAAATCACAGTAGAGCCTATGATAAACCATGTCCTAAATAGTTGAGCAACCAAGCAGCATTAAAAGAAAAAATTATACACACACGCACACAAACGTGTGTGCGTGTGTGTGTGTGTGTGTGTGTGTGTGTGTATAAGTTGGGTGTTGTTTCCAGTAAATGAAATTGAATGATGGCATGTTTTCAGGGGGAACTTTCCAGCTCTCTAATGGGATCTGAATGTCAGTTGTAACAAATAAGTCACCATATAATTGCTATAAATGGTTTTGGTTTCCTTTGATGGAGAACAGATGTGTATTAGTTTGGAATGCAATTATGAAATAATACTAAGGAAAGGAGAAAATGTAATTTTAGGAAATATTAAATTTTGGCTCTCTTTTATAATTGCTAAATTAATTTTTAATTTTCATTTTCTAAGGCAAGTTCCTCCTCAAGAAATTGACCTTCCAGGACACAAGGAGTCATTTGAAGTAGAAGGTAATCCAAGAAAAATCTAAAAATATTAGGAGCACAAGCTTTGAAGAAAAAATAGCCTAATTTCTCTTTTTTTAATTTAAAAAAAAATTTCTTTTTTGGCGGGGGGTTCCAGTCGTGGGCCTGAACTCTGGGCTGGGGCACTGTCCCTCAGCTCTTCAGCTCAAGGCTAGCGCTCTACCACTTGAGCCACAGTGCCACTTCCGGCTTTTTTATTTTTCTGCTTATCTGGTGCTGAGGAATCGAACCCAGGGCCTCATGCTTGCAAGGCAAGCGCTCTACCACTGAGCCACCTTCCCAGCCCTTAATTTAAATTTTAAATCTCTTCATCTGGTATTCTGCTCAAAGCAAATCTATTTCTTTTACATAAAATAATACAGGTTTAAAATAAATCCATGTAGCCGAGCACTGGTGGCTAATACTTGTAATCTCAGCTACTCAAGTAACTAAGAGCTAAGGATCATGGTTCAGAGTCAGCCCTGGCAGGAAAATCTGAAACTTTTTTTTTTTAATATATATTTTATTGTAAAGATACTGTACAGAGGGGTTACATGAGCAAGGTAATGAGTCCATTTCCTATCAAGCATTGTTACTCCCTCCTTTGTTTTTCCTCTACCATTCTATTCCTCCCCAACTTCCTAACCCCCTACAAAGTTGTATAGTTTGTTTTCAGTGTCTTGTACATCTCGTTACAATGGGTTATCCTGAATCCTTATTTTAGCATTTTATTATTTCCCTTCCCCTCTACCCAGATGCCCCTCAGTAGATGAATGGATCAAGAAAATGTGATATATATATATATATATCAAACACACACACATATGAATTCTATGCCTCCATCAGAAAGAATGACACCGCCCCATTTGTTAGGAAATGGAAAGACTTGGAACAAATTATATTAAGTGAAGTAAGCCAGACTGTGAGACTTTGATCTCCAGTAAACCACCAAAAAGGCAGAAGTGGAGCTGTGGTTCAAATGGTAGAGAGCTAGTGTTGAATATGAAACCTCAGTGACAGGCAAAAAAAAAAAAAAGTATATATATATATATATATATATATATATATATATATATATATATGTATATATATATAAAGTCAGGTGTTGGTGTAAGTCCCATCACTTAAGAAATAGAGTCAGGAAAGCCAGTGCCAGTAGCTCATGCCTATAATCCTAGCTACACAGGAGGCTGAGATCTGAGGATCGTGGTTCAAAGCCAGCCTGGGCAGTAAAGTCCATAAGACTCTTACCTCCAGTTAACCACCAGAAAACCAGAAGTGGTGCTGTGGCTTAAGTGGTAGAACACTAACCTTGAGCTGAATAGCTCAGACAGTGCCCAGGCCCAGAGTTCAAGTCCCATGACCAAAAAATAACTAGCAGCAAGAAAACCTGGAGTTTGAGGCCAGCCTGGACTAGATGTATATAAAATGAGATACTATCTCAAAAAAAAAAAAAAAGAAAAATAGCCAGGGGCTGGTGGCTCACACCTATAATCCTAGCTACTCAGGAGACAGATATTAGGATCGAAGTTCAAAGCCAGCCCAGGCAGGAAAGTCTGTGAGATTCTTATCTTCAGTTAACCACCTCAAAACAGGAAGTGGAACTGTGGCTCGAAGTGGTAGAGCACTAGCCTTGATCAAAAAAGCTCAGGGACAGCACCTATCCCCTGAGTACAACTGACCAAAAAAAATAAATAAATAAAGCCATTGTGCCAAATCTGCAGTCAAAAGCCCAGTCAATTGCTATGGCTGGAGTTTACTAAGCCCTACTATATGCTAAGCTCTGGGCTGTACACTTTACATACATTATCCTACCCAGACTCCACAAATGCTAGGAATAAAGCTACATCTGGCTCCATGTTATACAGTTTCAAAAAAGTAAAGTATTATACAAAAAGTAATCCAGATGGTGAGAGGTAGGGTTTTAACTCAACTCTGAAGCCATACCTTTCTACTTTGAAATTGATGTGTCCAGATTATTATCAATCCCCCTCTACTTACACTGAGCTTTGAAGAGGGATAGATTGGCCCCCTTACCAGGACTGTCTCTGACTACAGTGTCTCCACCAGCAAAGACTCCTTGCTCTGGCCTCCAAAACCACTGAAGACACCAAGACAAGTGAACTAAGACAGCCTCCACATCAGGCCACGCAGTAGCGTCTGGCAATCTGGTCATCAGTTCTTTCCTGCTCACTGCCCTCTGTTCTTTTTTTCTTTCCCTATAAAGATGAGTCCCCTCAGATGGCCGTTCATTGACATTAGCCCCACCTGGGGGGCAGGGAGACATGTTGCTAGCTTTCCAAATCTTTTTCTTTGCTGTCATTTACCCCCTCCAAAAAAAGAAAAGGAAGAAATAGTTTTAGAATAAGCAAAAACAGATGAATACCCTTTTTTTCCATATTTTCGTGGCCTTCCAATTATCCACATCTTACTTTTCATAGAACAACTTAGCTTATACTTTCTTGGTATATTTTTTCCCACTTTGGAATATGAAGCTCTTTTCCTCTCCTTCTCTGTTCATAGATTATGGAGATCATTCATTTTCCTTTAAACCTTGGACCTAGAGCATGTATAACCTCATCTTAGACTAGTTTTTAAAAGTACATGATATTTTCTCACAGGTTAAATACAAACCATCAGTTGCTTAGTGGCAAATAATGGTCATATTACATTTTCCCAATTTTGTTTGCTTATTGTAAATGTAGAAAAAATTAATAGAATGACTTTTCTACAACTTTAAATTTAGGATTTGAAGTTCACATTTCCAAAACCTAAAATTTTCTCTTATTTGTTTTTTTAACTCTTAGAGCAAATACCTACTTTTTCTCAAGATGCACTTGGATGTGATTTGGATACAAGTGATGCTAAATGTTCTGATGATGTCTTACCCAGGACAGTATCTCTCCGTCGCCATTTAAGAAAAGACTTTCATAGTTTAAGTGAATGTAGTCCCTTGGAGGATTTTGAAACCAGTCATTTTACAGGGCCATCTGTTGAACTGGAAAGTGTTAAATACATAGACCCAACAGTAAACGTGCGCATACTTGAAAATACACAAGGAAAGTTTTGTCAGTGGAATAAAGATCAAATTAACAAGTCACCAAGGCCAATTCACCCAAGACACTTTACCAAAACAAAAGAAATCATTTTGGACCCTAAACCTGAACAAATTAAAAGTAATTCTAACAACACACAAAGAAAAAGAGAAAAAAAAAGAAAAGCCCAAAGAAGGTCAGAATCTAAATCAAAGAATAAAGGAAACCAAAGTGGAAATAAGCAAACTGTTTGCAAAAAAAATATGGACGATGCTGTCAGTTCCAATGATGCTTACAATTTTAATTTGGAAGAGGGTGTTCACCTCACTCCTTTCCGTCAAAAAATGAACAGTGATTCTACTAGAGAAGAAAGTAGCAGTCCATCCGAAGCAAGCAATTGTGAATCTAGTGTTTCAGAAAATGACTCTGATGACCTCTGTCTACCCCCTTGCAAGTACACCTCAAACCCGGACAGCCAACCGGACAGACCAGTCACCAGGCCTCGGTCTAAAAGAGCACTGAAGTACATGGATAAAGAAGACAAGGAAGGTTCTCAGCCAACAACTCCTACTAGTAAGTGATGGATGCTGTTCTTTCTCTCCATCTTCAATGTTTTTGATAAGTGATCACTCTCAGTGCTTTTACTGTACTTATCATCTGCCTCTCTGTGGGAGGTTATGATACTTCCCATCTGCCTCTCTTTGGGAGGAAGTTGTAGTCTGATTAAATAATGGGGGCAGAAGTAGAAATCCAAGTTGTGTTGTTGCTCTGACCTAATTCAAGCAAATGTAAATCTTCTTTAACAATTATGACTTGTCTGCTCCTTGTCATGAACAAGTCATAATTTTTACTGTCAGTAAATGAGACTTCTCAAAAGCTGAGAGGAGGCAAGCAAGCTTCTTTGTGGAGCTGTCGAATAAAAAGATCTTTTGTGCATTCATGTGAGACGTTCCCTTGAAAATGAAATTATAAACTTAAATCTAGTGACTTGTCATTTGAATGGCTTTGCTTTGTACTTCATTTGAAAGAGACCATGATTTTAAATAATTTTCTAGTTAATGAAGGTGGGCTAATCAGACCAATAAATCTAGGTTGGCAGGAAAAGACATGGGTCATCTGTTGGTAGTGCAGCCTGCACCTGCCCACACAGGTGTTCACTTGGGAATTTTAGTTCGTATGTAGTCAGGTTATATGATTTATTTAAAAATTATTGTCAGCGGGCACTGATGGCTCATGTCTGTAATCCTAACTGCTTAGGAGGGTAAGACCTAAGGATTTCAGTTTGAAGGCAGCCCAGAAAGGAAAGTCCATGGGACTCCTATCTCCAACTTAACACCAAAAAAGCAGAAGTAGAGCACCAGATTTGAGCAGAAGAAATTAAGGGATAGCATCTAGGCCCTGAGTTCATACAAAAGATATGCAATAATTATAGAATAAATTAAACAAGATTGACCAAATGTTGAAAAACTTTTGAAGCTGAGTACTTGGGGTTAATTATACTATTACTATCATCTTTGTATACATGTGAAAACATCTAAGTTTTGTTTGGTTTTGGTGGTAGTATGGTTTGAACTCTGCCTTGTACTTGCTAGGTAAGCACTCTACCACCTGAGCCACCTGGTAGCTATCTTAAGTTTTGAAAGGAAAAAAAAAATTTTTTTCTAAAAGAGAGAATACAAGCATCAATTGTTTTAAATCATGGGCCATACCCCTTGAGTAAGAATGAGTGTCTCTGTGGATTTATTAAACACATTAACGTTTGGCAAGCATTGTTCTAAAATATACCAACTTATCTGATAGTGTTGCTTAGAAAATATACTAAAAGTTGGGGTAATTAATGTAGTGTGTTATGGTGACAGAAAAGCACAATCTGAAACTCAGTTCACACTGCAGCATGTGGCATCTTAGTATACAGTCATCTCACAGTCATAATTTACTAACATATTAATATTTCAAACTTATCTAGCTTGAAAGAGATGCAAAAAATGGGAAAGGTTTTTTTGTATGGGGGTAGAGGAGGCGCCAGTTGTGGAGCTTGAAGTCAGGGCTTGGGCACTGTCCCTGAGCTTTTGTGCTCAAGGCTAGAACTCTGCAACCTGAGCTACAATTCCACTTTCAGCTTGTGTGTGTGTGTGTGTGTGTGTGGTTGTGTGTGTGTGTGGTTGTGTGTGTGTGTGCTACAATTCCACTTTCAGCGTGTGTGTGTGTGTGTGTGTGTGTGCTACAATTCCACTTTCAGCGTGTGTGTGTGCGCGTGTGCTACAATTCCACTTTCAGTGTGTGTGTGTGTGTGTGTGTGTGTGTGTGTGTGGTTAACTGAAGATAAGAATCTTAGAGACCTTCCTGCCCCACCTCTCTTTGAACCTTGATCCTCAGATCTCAGCCTCCTGAGCAGCTAGGATTACAGGCATGGGCTACCAGTGCCTAGAGGAGAAAGTTCTAAAAACCTATGAAATGGCAGATTTTGTATCTATTTCAAATGTATAATTCTAAATTCTGTAACACAAAGGTGCAATGCCTACGTGCTGCTGGTCATATAAAATATTTATCTAAATTTATTCCAGGAAATGAAAATGAGGGTTTGTTTTTTGTTTTTTTTTTTATCAGTCCTGGGGTTTGAACTTAGGGCCTGAGCACTGAGCTTCTTTTGCTCAAGACTAACAGTCTAGCACTTGACCCACAGCGCCGCTTCTGGCCTTTTCTGATTATGTGGTACTGAGGAATCAAACCCAGGGCTTCATGCATGCTAAGCAAGCACTCCCAGCTGGAGGTTTTTTCTGTGTTATCTGTCTTTGGAAGAATGAGGAGGTAGGGTGGGGAGGCACAGAAATGGAGGACAAAGGGTAAAAAATGTAGCAGTGGTACTCACTAGACACTCTGTGGAAAATGAACTGTACATCTTGTGGGTGGAGACGGGAGGGAAAAAGTGGGAGAGAATGAAGGAAGGGGTAGCATTGTCCAAAAAGAAATGTACTCTTTACCTGACTTGTTAACTGTAACCTTTCTGTATACCACCTTTATAATTGTGTGTGTGGGGGGGGGGGGGGGAGGCAAGATAAAAAGGGAAACATTTTTTCCTTCACAAAATGTAAAGTGCCAGATTGTTTATATTTAGATTATATAATTATAATTTTATTCCTGTGGTTTTTTTTCTTGGAACTACTTGATAACAGTCATTTTTTGTAGGTGAACCTCCAGAGGCTCCGCAGACACCCCGCTGTAGCCTGAAGGAGATCACCAATGTCCCCTTACATCCTGTAGTTAAAACCAGGAGACTTTCTCTTTCTCCAAAACGGAATACAGAAAGCACAGCACATCCTCTTCCTAAGCGCAGGTGTGCCACCATGGTGAGCTACAAGGAACCAACATTAGCTTCGTAAGTATATGGTTTGGGGAGGACCTGTCCAAAATGAGTGATGAGTCCTAGATTAAGCTTTAAAGTTTGATTAAAAGAAACAGCCAGGGATTGATGGCTCACACCAGTAATCCTAGCTACAAGGCAGATATCTGAGGATCCCAGTCTGAAGCCAGCCCAGATAGGAAAGCCTGTGAGACTTTTATCTCGTTAGTCAGCTAAAAGCCATGTGTGGATGTATGGATCAAATGGTAAAGCACCAGCCTTGAGCAGTAAAGCCAAGCAAAAACATGAGGTCCTGAGTTCAAGCTTCAGTATTGGCATATACAGAAAAGGAAGAACACTAAAACTGGTAGTTTTGATAACACTTTATAATGAGTTAACACAGGATACTTGGAATTAACATCTTTTTAACCCTTGTAGGAAACTAAGAAGAGGGGATCCTTTTACAGATTTGTGTTTCTTGAATTCGCCCATCTTCAAGCAGAAAAAAGATTTGAGATGTTCTAAGAAAAGTGCGAAGCAAATACAAAAAACGTTGGATGCTATTTAAATTTATCCTCTACCCCCGTCTTTCTATTGCTTTACGTAGAGAATCTGTGAAGTAGTGCACAGGTGGATAGAACAGAATATTTGAATATTTTGTTAACAAGACACTAAATCATGAAGATGTCTTCAAAACAATACTTTTTAATTGTTTAGAATTCTTGTGCTATTTACTTCAAAACAGCTGTGTTTTACAAAATTACATTCATCTGCCTATTTTTTCCTAAAGGCATAGGCTGATAAGTATACTATAGTAAAGAACTTTGTAAGATGAGAATCTTTTGAAACTCCTTATGTAATTTTTGAATAGAAAAAAAAAATCCATGGTACTCCCAGGTAAAGTTTTGTGGATCCCTTATGAGCCGCTATTGGGTTTGTTTTATCTTGGTTTTTTTTTGTCCAAGATATTGCTGTGTAGTCCAGGCTAGCCTCAAACTTAAAATTGTCCTGTGTCAGCCTCCTAGGTGGGGATTTCAGGCATGTGCCACCAAGCCTAGCACCACTGTTGCATGTAAGTTTTCAGATAATACATTTGTAGGATCATGATTAGAGAATCACTGGTTATTTAGGTTCAGTGACTGATAAGTGACTGGTTATGAGCCCTAAGTGTATGTTGTTCAATGATTGCTTGGCAAAATCACAAGTTACAGACTTTTAGAAAAGCTCTTTAGTCAGACATCTTAGATGTGTGAATATTAAGGACTATTTTTAATCAGCCAATGAGAATTAATTTAGAAATTTTAACATGTATACTTATATATACCCTTTTAAACTTCAAATCACTAAAAGGATCAAAAGCCGTGGGCGCTGGAGGTTCAGACCTGTAATCCTAGCTACTCAGGAGGCTGCGATCTGAGGATCAAGGTTCAAAGCCAGCCTGGGCAGCAAAGTCCATGAGACTTATTTCTAATAAACCACCAGAAAACCCAAAGAGGCGCTGTGGCTCAAGTGGTAGTGTTAGCCTTAAGCTGAAGAGCTTTAAAAATTTTTTTGTCTAAATGTACAAGATGGACATTCTTAATGTGTTACAGGTCTGCATTCTATCACTGATCCTTACTTCCTATTGCCCTAGTCTCTCACCAACCTTATTCTTACGATTTTCCTTCCTCCCTTCCTTTCCTTTCTTTTTGCCAGTCTTAAGGTTTGAACTCTAGCATTGGGCATTGTCTTTGAGTTTCTTTGCCTCAAGGCTAGGGTTCTACCATTTGAGCCATAGGCACCACTTCCAGCTTTTTTTGACTAGTTTATTGGAGATAAGAATCTCATGGACTTTCTTGCCCCTGAAGACTTCAAACTATGATCTTCAGAGCTCAGTCTCCTGAGTAGCTTGGATTATTGGAGCCACTGGTGCCTGGCTTCCTTACAGGTTTCAACCGCTGCTTTTATACCTATTCTTTAATTTCATAAAAATGAACTGCAGAGAGGCTACCCAGCAACTGAGGGGGGGTACGGCAAAAGGATCATGACTTGAAGCCAGCCTGGGCTAGACCCTGTCGTTAAGAGATTGCCATTTCTTGCTCCACACCATTGATTGTTTGCATTTTACTGTTTCAAAACTCCCTGATGTAGCTTTGATTCTCACCCTCTTTCAGACCTAGTCAACCATTTCTGAAAAACCCCTGGTAGATTTTGTACTTTCAGTGTTGTGTGTATATCTGTAGTGTTAAGTATTGTCTTGTGTTTCAACATTTTATATGAATTACACTGTATATATTACCTTCTGTGGCCTTAATCTGTTTTTGAGGGTTGTCCATGCTGGTAGATGTATTTTCATATTTGTATACTATTATGTAAATAAAGCACACTTAACTGATGCATTGTCTGACAGTTTGTTGCCACTTTTTCATTGTTTACAAATTAGTGCCACAGTGAATAATCTATAGCTCTTTTGGACCTCAGTACTAAGATGCAGGTTCCTAACCTATGTTTCGTGACCTCATCTCCTAATCCCCACAGCACACCAGCTCTCACCTCACACTGATTACCTCTGATTTCCTTCCTGCTGCCTTTCTTCCACTTACATTTCTTCTCTTCATAGACTTTAACCCTAAAAGCTGGCATTTCTAATTTATAGTAGCACTATGGTTATCAAGAATGTGGAAGAAATGCCTTCTTATAATGGAGTATAAAAAACTAGAGGTACCTAAATCTCCAGCATTGTTTTTTGTAGGAAAAACAGAAAAATGTGGCTTCAATGGGGAACTCTAAGGTGAATTCACATACAGCTACACTTAAGAAATGTTGATCTTGGCATCTTGGGAATTGGTATCTAGCATCAAAATGGATGTTACAGCCTTTCCTTCATCCTGTTCAGTAATTTTTATTAGTAATAAGATTATCGGCCAGGGGTATATAGTGGTAAAACATGCAAGCATGCATGCAAGATCTGATTCCAGCCCCATCACCACAAAAAAAGTAAATAACACGGGTATGAGAAGACATTTATGTAACTTAAAGACAAACTTGTCTATGTAAAACGTAGAAGGAATGGTCAGCAGTGAATGCTACAACTACAAGGGTGGGGAAGAAGCTTTAAGAAGTTGGGTGTGATGCATGACTATAATCCCATTACTCAGGAGGATTGCAAGTGTGAGGCCAGCCCAGGATACACCTAACCAGACCCTGTCTCAAATACACATATTCACCAAAGACAAACCTTCAGATGTTAATGCCAATAACTACATGTTTCCCTATAAAATTAGTCCATATCAACTTTGTGACTTGAATTCTACTAGGTATTTACATAAAAGTATTTGTTAGTCAAAAGACTTACACGAGTGACAATAGCATCCTTACTGTAAACTGGGAGCTACCCAAATGTCCACTATGGTAGACAAGTCTTTACATTCCAATCACAGACTACTGCCAATCAGCTTCCTAAAAAAAGAATACCAGCTTGAAGGGTAATAAATCGTATGTTTATCCACAGTCCAATCTTGTTTCTACTTCTGAGTGTCTAAAATTGCAAACGTTACTGCCAAGCAAAATGAAACCTGAAAATCTTTTCACCATTTTGTTTTACTAAGTGGCCATTTAAAAGGTTTTATTGGCTGAGTAATGAACGAGGAAAATGTGTAAATGCTTAATAGATATATGGAGTAGGGATGTAAAGTAACTTCCAGAAGTTTCCTTGTATCCATCATCTAGCTTCCCACTGCCCCCTCATTCAGTCCTGCCTGGGAGACATTTGCTTAATTATGAATTAAATAGAAACAAACCTATCAAGTGGCTTTGGGTTAATAGCCCCTGCTTCCTACTCCCCATCCCTTCCTCCAGTGCTGGGGACGCCTAACACATGCTTCTACCCCCTGTGCCTGACTTTCCTGGACTTGAGCTAAGCTTAAATACAGACCCTGCCCTTTGTTGGGGTAGATGGCAGTGGTGCAGAGCTGCTGTCAACAGAGCATTCTGGGGTTCAGTGTTGAAAAGTTTACTCTCCACAGAGAAAAGAAAGTAACATTCTCCACTGCCCAGTTTCATTCATTTCATTGCTGCTGCATTCAGATTTGCACTGGAGGGGGGGAGGGGGGTCTTGAGTGTTGGGTCCTCACAAACCAGGGGAACAGAATATTTATTTCATAAGATAGGATTTTAGGTAACATTACAAGATCATATGGGAGATGTCTAAAAACCTGTATTTCTAGTAGCATCCCTCTTCATTAGAAATCTAAGACACCACTCAAGGTAGTTTCTTATACTTGGAAAAGTTGAGGCATGTTTCACTGTGAGCATTCTGAAAAATCTCCTACATCTCAAAAACAACACTTCCAACTTCATAGCCATTTTACGGGTATTTCCTTCATGCTTGCTATCTCTGTTGACTGTTTTCATTAAAAACATTCGTGACCCATTTTAATTTATGCTGATAGAAAACAAATACATTTTTAAAACCTCATCCTTTACAAAAATCAGTTTACAAATTTGCATCATAAAAATTAGTGTCAACACTGTGGAGATGGCTTCATTTGTATGGTTGTATATTAGTTGGTTTTCCCAGAGTTGGGGTATGGTAGGTGTCGCACTTTCTCTGTAGTGTAATCAGGATTAAAATGTAAGCACTAAGCTGGAATCCCAAGACAGGTTAGGGAATAGACTGTATGATGGATGGTAGTGGGATATAACCCTGAACCCAGAATAGCAATTAGGTGTTAAAATGCTGACACCACCCTCGGTGGGAATTTAATTCATCTCAGACAATAAACATAATCTGGAGATGAAGAAAAAAAAATGTTCACATACACATTTTTAATGGAGTTACACATGTCATAGAAAAGTAAAAATCCTCACTTATTAGAACAAGGATCCACCAGATTGCTTGATACACATATAGAATACATGTCTTTTTCCTATAAAGGCATGTTGTCTCGATTTCAAGTGTTTTCAACTTTATGCCTTTGTGGCTTGGGAAATTACCTTTTTTTTTTTTTTTTGAACTTATGTCCTGCATAAGCAAAGTCAAATATGATATCTCACATTTGTGTAAAGAATTAGTAAAATAGTGGTTAAGTACTCACAAGTTTGTTGTATGTAGACAGAATTATCAAAACCCCAGATGCTTACAAAAAAAAAAAAAAAAGAAAGAAAGTTTGCATTATTTAGAATCTCTTCCTTAGGAATCAAAGCAGCTGCAGTTGAGGACCTGCAATTTTTTTCAGAACTGCTCAGAGCACCTCATCTAGATGAGTGTTTTAAAAAATATCCATGTAGAGTCTATTGTGAGACTTCAAACATCACATATTTCACCTTTTATGGGCTTTTTATCATTATTTCCTCCTTCAAGTCCTTCAGAATAAAATAAAACTACACTCTCACATTCCATTAGGAAAAAAAAAAATGGACACATTCACGGTCTGAAAACCCCTGATCTTCTATCATGGAATAGTGGGCTAATGGACTTGTCATAGAAAATGTACATCCTAGCAGTAAATAGATTCAAATCTATTCCATCAAATAAAAATGTTCTATGACTTCAACTTAAATACCTATCTGAAAAGCTAACAGGAGGTTGTCTTGTTTTCTCAAAAGTGCTAATTATTACATTTACAAGTCTCTTCAAAGACATCTCCAATTCAGTTCTTTAAAATAAAACAACAACAACAACAAAAGAAAACAATAAAATGAAACCATCTTGCTTTAGGCACACTGCTGATGAGTTTCTAAGAAGCAGAGGGAAAGGAAATCACTTGTCAATTAATCCAGCCTCCTTAATTTTACTGAAGAAGAATTTCTCCAGGATATTGGCACATTTGTAGTATTCACTCTCAGGGGGGCTGTACTCTTTGCAATTGGTAAAAACTCTCTGTAAGTCTGCCATGAATAATTTCTTAGACACGTAGTACCGATTCTTGAGGCGTTCACTCATAGTTTTCAGATCTGCACAGGGAAAAAAAAATATTAACAATATTTGACTCTTATTAAGCACTAATATAAGCAAATAAGACTAACTGTGGGAAAGAATATATGTGGTTGAAAAAACAGTTTTTAAATCTTACTTTATTCTTTTGAGAGGATTTTATAACAAAATCAGATCCACATTATCATTAAAGGGACCATTATTAGTTATCTGGTTCAATCCTCCATTGAACACAAGGAAGCTAAGTAGATTATCAAGAGCTAAGTATGGTAAACAGACTGCTATTAGCTATTCATTCTGAATTATACAGGGGTTCTATCTTCATCACACAGAGCAGATAGACATTTGTATTGAATCATTTAATTACTTAAAACAATTGGACTGAGTTTCCCTAAGTTCAAAGTAAATTCTCTACTAAAGTATAAAAACTAATCATTAGGTATAACTCCAAATATTTCAAGCCGGGTGTCGGTGGCTCACGCCTATAATCTTAACTACTCAGGAAGCTGAGATCTGAGGATCACGGTTCAAAGCCAGCCCCGGCAGGAACGTCCAGGAACGTCTGTGAGACTCTTATCTCTAATAAACCAACAGAAAATCGGAAGTGGCACTGTGGCTCAAGTGGTAGAGTGCTCACCTTGAGCTGAAGAGCTCAGAGACCGAGCCCAGGCCCAGAGTTCAAGCTCCATGACTAACCAAAAACAAAAACAAAAAAAAATTATTTCAGTGCCAGCACATGAAACAGTAAAAAAGAAATTTTCATGTTCCATCAATTAAATAAAAATGACTAACTTCATAGTCATTTTTCTTTTTTTCTTTTTGCCAGTCCTGTAGCTTGAACTCAGGGCCTGGGCACTGTCACAGACCTTCCTTTGCTAACAGCTAGCACTCTACCATTTGAGCCACAGCACCACTTCCTGCTTTTTCTGTGTATGTGGTGCTGAGAAATCAAATTCCAAGCATGCCAGGCAAGCACTCTACCACTAAGCCACTTCCCAGCCCTCATAGTCATTTTTCTAAAGTAAATAAACTTTGCAAGACTTGTGAAATATATTTTCTCAATATATCTACTTGTTTAAATCGTATAACTTATTAGCAAATGAAGACAATGCTTGATCTCTCTCCCTTAGAATACATGGAGTTTCCTCAATCTTCATGGTGAGGACAAATTTATGCAACTCAATGCAAACCGGATACTAAGGTTTGTCTATTTAAGGGTCCTCAGGTGTCTTTAAGTCTAGCTCAATCACCAAAAACTGTAACTGTGTTAACTATACAAGTAAGTCAAAACTTCACAGCATTGTAAAAATCCAAAATTTCCACTATATTATCAAATTTTCCAGAGGAAACAAAATCTGCTACCAGATACACTAGCATTCTCTCTCTACAACTCATCACATCCTGAATGGGGAATGAATTCATTTACACCAAAAATCTCAAGCCGACTACAAAACACCAAAGGAAAAATGTGGAAAAATATGTTTCTCTTTGTCTCTTTTAATTAACACCTATCCCTGTTAGTTCATGTCATCACATCTGTAAATTCAACTTTTAACTTTTCTTTTCTCTCTAACACAAGCAGTTTGGAGACAGAAAAAAAAATCTAAACATGTTAAGACAAACAAAGACTCAACAAATCCTCTACTAAACATCTCACCTAAGTGTGGCTGAAAGCATCAAGATGTTCTCTCATTTAAGGAAGAAAGACTAAATTTATGCCTCAAACAAAGCAACAAAACAATCACCTTATAAATATGTTAGAAACAATCGCAAGAAAGAAAAAACCACTTGTGTCCTTATCTTGAGGTTCATTTCGCCTAACATCAAGTTATCTGACCGTTTCTGCTTGTCTCAGACATATACTAGTTATTGCAAATAAGGGAAACCATGGGACCTATGTTTCTTTGGGCCTGGCTTACTTCACTTAATATAATTTTTTCCAAGTCTTTCCATTTCCTAACAAATGTGGCAATGTCATTCTTTCTGATGGAGGCATAGAATTCCATTGTGTATATATACCACATTTTCCTGATCCATTCATCTGAGGGGCACCTGGGTTGGTTCACTATATTGGCTATAGTTTTGTTGATTTGTATGTCCCTCCCCCATGGTATAACCCCTGTTTTCACTGTATTTGATGTTGGTAAAATTTGGGGAGGGGTAGGAAAAAAATTGTTTAAATAGGGATACAAGTGGGCCCATTGCAACAATGAGATGTACAAAATGCTATGTTGAAAAACGAACTTTACAACTTTGGGGGAAGGTGGGGAGTATAGTCATGGAGATGGGAGAGCAGGGATGGTAAGGGAAAAACAAAGGAGGAGACAACAATGCTTGATAAGAAATGTACTCATTACCATGCTCATGTAATTGTAACCCCTCTGTATGGTATTTTCACAATAAAAAAAACTTAATAAAAAATTATTCCTCATTAAGTAAAACCAGGTGTTTGTATTCCTTTTCCCTAAATTTCTTATCTCTTAAGATATGCTGCCCAGTAAGTTTATAATGTTTTAGAAGAAAGTAACATGTAGCCAAAACCAAAAACATAAACCAACAACTAAGTTCTGTGAAGAAAACAAACTAAAAAGGCAATTTGAAGCTAGCCTGGGCAGACAAATCCAAGAGACTCTAATCTCCAATTAACCAGCAAAAAGATGGAACTAGAGATGTGGTCAAGTGGTAGAGCACTAGCCCAGACTCAAAAAGCTAAATAAGAATGTGAGGCCCTGAGTTCAGGCATCAAAACCTACAAACCACACACATACGTACATACACATACACATACATACACACACACACACACACACATCATTTTTTTTTTTAAAAAGAGAGGGAGGGAGGAAGTGGATGAGGGAAAGAGGGAGGGAAAGTACAAAGAGGGTCCAAAGCCCTTTCAAACATTTAGGTGGGGTAGGGGTGAGTGGAAAGTAAGAAGAGACTAGTAGCAGAAACAAAGCCAGAATTATAGTGGTAGTTTGACCCTCCAAAAGAATTAGAATCCATTCTGAATTACAATTCATTTTTCTATTCTAATGCTACAGATAGCATTTTTCTTTCTTTGATCCACTCACATTATTTTGATTGACTAAACACCATGGGTTAGAAAAACACTGCTGGGCTGGGAATGTGGCTTAGTGGTAGAGTGCTTGCCTAGTATGCATGAAGCCCTGGGTTCAATTCCTCAGTACCACATATACAAAAAACTGGAAGTAGTACTGTGGCTCAAGTGGTTGAGTGCTAGCCTTGAGCAAAAGCAGCTCAGGGACAGTGCCCAGGCCCTCAGTTCAAGCCCCAGGACTGGCAGGAAAAAAAAACAAAACAAAAAACACTGGCATCACCAGGCACCAGTGGCTCAGTAGGAAGTCCCTGAGATTGTTGTCTCCAATTAAGCATCTAAAAAGCCAGAAGTGAAGCTGTGACTTAAGTGCTGGAGCACTAGCCTGGAGTTAAAAAAAAAAAAAAGCTCAGGGACAGTGCCAGGCTCTGAGTTCAAGGTCCAGAATTGGCATCAAGAGAGAAAGAAAAGAAGGAATGTAGGAAGGAAGGATAGTACCAAATATGGAGGTAGAATGAAATGAACTGCATTTTCGAAGGTGAGCAGGAAGACCCTGTCTAGCAATCACAGGTAGGAAGATGTCATGCTTGGCTCAGACTACTCAGGCAATTTGCAGTTTGCCACTCCCTAGGTAAAACCCATTTATAAAGATGAGAGAAAAGAGGTCGTAGAACATGGGAAAAAGAGAAGAAACCTCTTTAGAAAAAAATCTTCTAAGAAAGCAATAAATAAACATAAGTGGAGAGCCAGTGGCTCACATCTAGCTACTCAGGAGGCTGAAGCTGAGATCTGAGCATCATGGGTATGAAGCCAGCCCAGGCAGAAAAGTCCCCGTGAGACTCTTATCTCCAATTAACCACCAGGAAAGGAGAAATAGAGCTGTGGCTCAAAGTGGTAGAGCGCTAGCCTTGAGTGAAAGAGCTCAGGGATAGGGCCCAGGCCCTGTGTTCAAGCCCCATGACTGACAAAAAAAAAAAAAAAGGATTACAAGTAAAAGAGGAACAGAAGAATCTGCTCTCATTTCAGCTAGTTCTCATCTGCACAGTACCAAGTTGATTGAATTTGGGAATTCTAAATTGATTCAACTAATTATGCATTTTAGTATAGTATAAGCACAAGTAGCAGTTTCTGCAATTCTGAATGTTTGAAGGCATCTTTTATCTTCAGATAAGAATTAAGGTTAAAATAACAGCATATGTGGCAATGAACAGTATCATGAAGAACAGGGAAAAAAAGCAAGACATTACTATCATTTCTCCCTCTGAAAGTACAACTTAATCTACCTTCTTTCATATTACCTTGAACAACTCTTAAAAGGAATAGCTGTTTATGATGGACTCGAAACATATAAAAAAAAAAAACCTGGTATCTTTACATCTGCAACAAGCAGGTAGACTACAAGCAAGGTTATGTCCAAATAGCAAGTGTCCATATCCAGGAACTGTCTGCAGGTCAATCCAACTTGGATTCCAAGTCATGGGCTCTAAAAGACAGCTGTGGGTTGTCTCTAAGGAACAGGGCCTGCCCCTTCCCCTTAATCATTGTATTCCAACATAACTGCCCCTCCCCTCCAGATACAGGAAGCCCACTCCCCACTCCACCACAGAGGAGACCAAATCAGCATCAGCACCCAATTGTCCCCCCACACCACCATCCAGAGTTTCACATCTACAATTAGAAAATATTAATGGCATTACCCATGGGAAACCGTATAACTTCATAATATCCCGGAGCTTCTGTTCTCTTCACAGGTTCCATGAAGGGCCAAGCGCTTTGATGGCTCTTGAGTAAAGGAAAGAAAAGGAAGGTATCTAATATGACTGTTCCGGGTGGGAAGTCATTTCAAAACACCGGCATGAAAAAAATGAAAGCAACACCTACCTTCACCTGCTGGAGGATGCCCTTGAGCGTGCTGTAAAGCTGGTCAGGGTCTTTGGGTTCTTTACTTGAAAAGAGGAAACATCAGGAGCAGAGATTAGTTCTGACCCTGCTGCCCGCTTATTTCTACGCAGCCCGGCCTCACAGAAACCCCAATACAATCCATTCCAGAACTAAGGAACAACAAACCCCAACAAGGGCTGTGGGAGACATTATAATAATCACTTGGCCCTTTTTCTCTAAGTTGCTGGAAGAGGGGAAAAAATTAAGCAACCTCCATTCACAGCCACTTACCCATCTTCCTTACCTTTTTTCTTTTCCACTTGGTTTCCAGCCTGTCTCTCCTAGGATGCTGAGATCTGAGGACCCCGTTAGAAGCCAGCCAGGGTGGAGCAGGAAAGTTAAAGAAATTCTTACCTCCAATTAACTATCAAAAAGCAGGAAGTGGGAACTATGGCTCAAGTGGTAGAGGGCTAGCCTTGAGAATCAAAGCTCAGGGAAGCCATGCTAGTGGCTCAGGCCTCCTAGCTACTTAGGAGGCTGAGATTTGAAAAATCACAGTTAGAAGCCAGCAGGGCCAGGGGAAGTCCATGATACTCTTATCTCTAATTAACCATCAAAAAAGCTGGAAGTGGAACTGAGGCTGGTTCAGTGCTAGCCTTGAGCAAAAAAGCTAAAGGACAGCCTCCAGGTCCTGAGTTCAAGGCCCTAGGACTGACACAAATAAAATTAAAAACAAAACAACAAAACAACACACACACACACACACACACACACACACAATTACTTGGTATGCTAAGGCTAGATGATGGTGAGTTCAAGGCCAGCCTAGGATACATAGCTAGACCTTGTCTCAAATAAAAACTAAAAACTCCTCAATAATTACATAGCATATCTAAATTTGAGGGAAGAATTGCAAAACAATAGAAGTCACTACTCAATTCATAATGGGGGGGGAGGGAGACAGGGAACACCAGTTCTTCTTCTAGTTACATATGGCTGGTGATCACTGCAGAATGAATTTACAGTCCTATCTGTCGAACAACAACTTCCCCAAATGACTAGGAATCGTAAATGTGCATCCTTGGCAAATCAAGATTAGTGCTACCCAATTAGAAATAGATACTGTAATTCCTACTGCATTTTAAATTCGAATGTAATTTATTAATTTAATTTGTAATTAAAATTTTTTCTAGTAGCCATGTTTTCGAATGGTAAAAAGAAACAGGTGACGTTGATTTTAATAATAATACATCTCTCATTGAACTCACTGTGTCAAAAATAGTTGAGAGGTACTTGACATTCATTTACTCCTAACAAAGTCTTTAGAAGTTGGAGCGTTCTAGGCCTACTACATCACATCCCAGTTCTGACTAGGTACAGACCAAATGCTCAATAGCCACATGTGGCTAGTGACTCCTACTCCTCTAGATGAACATTGACTTTTGTTAAGTCTGTCTTCTCTTGTGGTGCTGGTCATAGTGGTGGTAGTGGTGGTACCTGGAATCAAACCCAAGGCCTTGTACATGCCAGGCAAGCACTCTACCACAGAACTACATCCCTAGCCTCCCCTGGGAGGTGTGTGCGTGGTGGGGGGGAAGTGATCTGTTTGTTTCAGAATGGGATCTCACTACATAGCTTTGTCTAGTCCCAAACTTCTGATCTTCCCACGTGCTAGGATCCCAGAAGTATGCCACCATGCTCAGGCTGTTTACTGCCATTGTTAATCCCTCCCTTTCTTTCTTTCTTTTTTTTCCCCAGTAAATGTTTAGGGGGTTATAAGAAATTTGATTATCAGAACAGGGATACTCAATCTGGTATTTTGTTCCAAATTCTAAAAATTCCAAAATCTAAACTACTTCTCATCACACAAATAATTTTGGATAAGGAAAAATTTGTCCGTGCATCCAAACATTTTATGATGATAAGTTCAGATTTCCTCTAAAGGAACTAGGTTAACAGCGCCAAACCTCCAGTGACTTGTGTGACAAAGTGGTAAGGAGAGAGGAAGAGGAGAGGGAGGGGGAGAGGGAGAGGGAAAGGGAGAGAGGGAAGGAGGGGGGAGAGAGGGGAGAGAGAGAGAGAGAGAGAGAGAGAGAGAGAGAGAGAGAGAGAGAGCTAGAGAGAGCAAGAGCCATCAGGAGAGAAAAGGGGGAGGGAGCCCTGTCTTCTAAAAGGCTGAATGCTTTGTGAGCTCTGTGCACCCTGTAGGTAGGAAGGGCCAATAAATCTCAGCATCAATGAATGCTTATACACTCTGCCAGGGGACTCCTGTGCTCAGCTAATCTGGGGTTTGAATTGCTGCTGGGCAGGATTGGGCAGAGAGCAGCTGACAGCACACTGAAGGCAGTAGTTGGCCAGCAGCCTAGATTGCCACAGCCGCTCATTAAGCCCCAGAGAACAATGAGGAAAGCCAGCTCTTGAGAGAGAGCAGGCTGGAGAGGAGCCTGCTGTGTTTCCTTAACTCTTCCAAACACTCACCCTCTTTGGAATCCTTTTTTTAGGTTCTGTGACCAAGACAAAGAAAATTTGTTTTAACTTCCCAATTTAACAGAAAATGCCAATTTGCTCATGTTTATAGAAGCAGAAAAACAAGTTTGAGCTGCTATAAATCAAAGAAAACAAATCAAATCAAATAACAAGCTTGCTGGCTGTGAATGTGGGTAAAACCTGACCAGTCGCTAAGCTACTAAGAACCAGGATTAAGGGTATTTGCAGAAAACAAGAAGTAAAGGTAGGCCGAAGACAGACAGACGTGTTTCTTTGGTAATTTGCAAGAGAAGAGTAAGTTCAAATGAACTCCCTGATTCCTGAACACCAGCAAACTAAACTCCAGCCTGGTACTGGGAAGAAACCAAAATGTGCATTCATTTCCTAACAAATGTGGACTCTTCTTACGTTGTTACTTGATTTGTTCTGCTTTTGGGAAATTTAAAATGCCTGTGTCTCTTTCTTTCATTGCTCAAGATGCATGAAACTCATTACTCAGATGTCAAATCACAAATCACTTCAGGTATCTAAAGAGAAGCCTTCAGAACTTGAAGTAAGGCCCATGGAACGTGAATAATTAGAACCCAAACAGGAAGAGTAGAAGCAGGGGTTGAGGAGAGCAGAGCAGGGCCTTGCATATCTGGAGAAAAGGGTGGGCGGCAAGAGGGTGGAGAATTCAAATAGGATGAGGGGAAAGAGGTATGTATAATCGAATGTTGAATGAGACAGGCCCAGTTCAAAGAACAAAATACTATATGTTTTCACTCACTCCTATGTGGGGGACTAGACCTGAAAGATATCACACTCATGGACATATACATATATACTCATATAGATAATTACATATTTATAGATAAATATAGAACCTTAGTCTAAGGGACTACTTAGGAGGAGAAGGGAAAGAGAGAGGTGGAAAGGGAAGAGGATGAATAATTTTGAAATACACTGTAAGTACACATGAAAACAGCACAAAGATCCTCAATAAAAAGTTATTGCTCAATAGAGAAATATGGATGTAGACAGAGCAGTGGACTGCTGTGGTAAGCAATGAAGGAAGGGAGCCAGGCTAGCAAAGAGGATGAAAGAGGTGGATGTAGTTGAAGCAGATCATTTGCAACTATGAAAATAGAGGAGTAAAAGCTGCGGGAAAGGGGGAGGGAGAGTGATAAAGGGGGTTAGAGTGGAATATATCATAAATATGTGTAGAAATAGAACAATGAAATCTTCTGTATAACAATGTAAGCTGATGTAAGCTGAGACAGAGAGGAAGAGAAGGAGAGAGGGAAAGGGAGAGGGGGAGACAGACAGACAGACAGACAGACAGACAGACAAAGTGAGAGAAGGAAGAGAGAAGGAAAGGAGACAGGGAAAGAGGGAGAAGGGAGAGGAAGATAGAGGGAAGGAGAAGGATGATTGAGGCCAGAATGTAAAAGCCTTTGGCAGGAAATGATAAAACATATCATTGTATATTCTACATTTTAGGTTGACTCTCTTAAGGATTAATGACCCAAAAAGGAGCCAGGCAAAGTGGCGCTGTAGCTCAAGTGGTAGAGCGCTCGCCTTGAGCTGAAGAGCTGAGGGACAGCGCCCAGGCCCAGAGTTCAAGCCCCACGACCGACAAAAAAAAAAAAAAAACCACCAAAAAGGAGCCAGGCAAACATTATGACAGCATTAGATAAACATACATGGAACCCAGTGAAACACCATCTACCTCGGATATAAAGCTCAGTCAATTCGTACCTCCTTCTGTTTTTTAATGATGACAGAGAACTCTGTGTACGGAATCCGAGGATTCAGGTCACATCTCATTAAGGTGGCTCCTTCATAATCCTTGATGTAGCCAACATATTTGGTTTTGGGTATTTTAATTTCTTTGGAGAAACCCTACAAAGCAGATCCATTCGTTCATATGGACACTGGATCACATAGCTACTGAGTGCTAACAATATCCAGGCACAGAGAAAGGACTCCAGCATGCTTCCCTTCCATCTCCTTGACATACTAGGAAGAGGATTAGCTTGAAAACTACTCATGTCATTCAAATAGTGCAAACAGAAAATTATATAACACTTTAACATTATCCAAATAACAAGCCACCTGTGGCTCGTGCCACCGTAATCCTAATTACTTGGTAGTCTAAGAACCAGAGGATTGTAGTTTCTGGCTAGCCCAAGCAGAATGTGTCACAAGATCCCTTTGTGCCATCACTGGGCACAAAGATATACTTGACATCTCAAGCACAGTGGCAGCCTGGACATTTAATTTTTACTTAATAACTATGGCCATTTCAAAGTTTAAATGTATCTATTTCTTTCTTTTTTTGGGGGTGGGGGTGGGGGGGGTAGTACTACTGAGGTTTGAACTCAGAGCCTCAATCTTAACAGGCTGAAACTATGGAACTATTTGCTGAGCTATGCCTCCAATCTTGTTTTTCACTGGTTATTTTCAGGATAGAGCCTTACTTCCTGTTGTGATACCCATCCCATCTTCCCTGGGATGACAGGTACAAGCCCCCATGATCCAGCTTGACTATCACAGAGATGGAAGTCTCTCAGACTTGTCTACCTGAACACAGCCACACAGGGACACTTAACTTCCCTCCCTCCCTCCCTCCCTCCCTCTCTCTCTCTCTTAACCTCCCTCCCTCCCTCCCTCCCTCCCCTCTCTCTCTCCCTCTCTCTCTCTCTCATCTTTCTTTCTTCTCTTTTTTTGTTAGTCCTGGGGCTGGAAATCAGGGCCTGGGCACTGTCCCTGAGCTTCCTTTGCTCAAGGCTAGCCACCCTAGCCACACTTGAGCCACAGCGCCACTTCCAGCTTTTTCTGTTTATGTGGTGCTGAGGAATTGAACCCAGGTCTTTGTGCATGCTAGGCAAGCACTCTACTCACTAAGCCACAGTCCCAGCCATTTACCTGTTTCTTGAAGTATCCAATTGCATAATCGTCAGCGTATGTGAGGAAGTTGAGGATATCGTGTTTTATGTGATATTCTTTTAGATGATTCATCAGGTGTGTTCCATAGCCCTGTGCACAAGTTAGCATGCAGACAAATGGATTAGGTCTTGGAGAAAAGAAAATCCTACAATCTTGCCAGGAAATGTTGGAAAACTGAAGAGATTGTGCTTGGAGATACATATGTATGTGTGTGTGTGTGTGTGTGTGTGTGTGTGTGTGTGTGTGTGTGTGTATATATATATATATGATCATAACATATTTTTAACATAACATATATATGTGTATATTACCAACAGAAACTCTCCTGGGGGAAATCTAATATTAACAATTTATAACAATTTCTGAACTTTGAAAATGAGGGAGAGAACTACAAAAAATCTTCAAAATTCTTGGTTCAAGATAAAAAAACAACATTGGAAAATATGTTTTTGCTTCTTTGGCCATAATACACTGAAACTACAAACTCAGATACAAAAATTCCTAGCTAAGATGTTAAGTTTTCCTGGAGTAAATACTTTTAATGAATTTCTGCTTAATTTTGAAAGTATTTCAGAATCTGGGATTTAAAGAAGTGTATAAATGAAAAGTGCTAATGATCACTAGAAAATCACTAATCCAAGTGTTTTGCTCTGCATTACATAATATCAACCCTTCTAAAATTACTGTGGGATTTTTTCTTTTTCTTTTTTCTTTTTTTTTTTTTTTTTTGGTGCCAGTCCTGGGACTTAAACCCAGAATCTGGGTGCTGTCCCAGATTTTTTTTTTGCTCAAGGCTAGTGTTCTACCACTTAAGCCACAGCTCTACTTTCAGCTTTTTCTTTTTTTTTTTTTTTTGGTGTTTAATTGAAGGAAGACTTTCCTGCCTGTGCTGACTTTGAACAGTGACTTCTCAGATCTCAGCCTCCTAAGTAGTTAGAATTACAGACCTGAGTGGGCCTGAGCGCCCAGCATACACAGAATTTCTAACCTGCTATCATCAGACCTTTTCAAGAAAGATCTGGGGATGGGGGGGGGGCAGGGCACAGTTGGTAGATTGCTGGCCAATGAGCAAATCAGGCAATCAGGTACAGAGTTTGAGTCCTGGTCTCCAACCAAAAAACAAACAAACAAACAAGCAAAAAAGAATAAGGAAAAGAGGACTGGAAAAGCCCAGAATCTCCAGGTCAGCCAGAACACACTAGCTATGTAATTTTAGCTATATAATTTTATAGAGATAAATAGCTATATAATTTTAAACTTATCAAGACCAAGGAGTTTTAAGATGAAAAACATATTCTAAAACCTGATAAGGTGCTTCGGGCATATTTTCAAATATTACCTTTTATGTGTTCTTAAACCAGATAAACTCACATGAAAATATTAAAGTACTCACAGGAATTAAAAGATAACCTTGATTCACCTAAATGACTGGACAAAATTTTATTTCCTTTTACTTATACACACACATATTATTTTGGGGTTTGAACTTAAGGCCTTGCTCTTGCTCAGCTGGTGTTCTACCACTTCAGCCACACCTCTGGCCCCTGGATATAATTTTAAAGACATAGCCACACATTTAATATAGTAAATACAGATTTGCTGACTTCACAAGCAAGTGCTACTAGCACTGGGAATCACTGAGTTTTACCCCACGGTGAAGCAGAATGTCTGTGTGTTCCAGTGTTTGGGGTTGGCAGATACCTTTGAAAATCTAAGTATCTAAGGTAGTACCTGGCTCCGGAGTTGGTCATTAATTATTAACTAAAGACATGGGGCAATGAAAAGACAGGAAATTAATGATGTAACTGTTTCTCCCATTTCTATTTGTACTAAACAGTTGGTCCCTAAAAAGGTAATGTATCCATTATACACATAAATACACATAATATCTTTCATCAATTTGTTCATCCTGTTCTATTTTGTAATATTAATCTTCATTTTCTAAAACGACACTTTCAGATCACTAACAAAGAAATGACTTTATTTTTCTAGGGCTTTCTACTGAATTTATGACATTTTTTTCCAACTTCATTCAAGTCTTTAAAATTTTACAGTGTAGGGAATACAATAAACTGCCCTTGTGAGAAGTAACAAGACAAAGCAGCAACTCATATTCTGTTTCCCTGTGGCATCCCTAAAAGTGTCCAAATCAACCTTAATTAACCTTTCCAAACAAGGTGCTTGCTATAGCCGTGTGCCTCTGTGTGTGTCTATGTGTCTGTGTGTCTCTGTGTGTCTCTGTCTCTCTGTTTCTGTCTGTCTGTCTGTCTGTCTGTCTGTCTCTCTCTCAGAGGCATGCACATGTGCATGCTAGACCTGGGGCTTCAACTCAGGGCCTGGGTGCTATCCCTAAGCTTTTATGCTTAAGTTTAGCTCTCTACAACTTAAACCACACACAGCCCTCCTTCCTGATTTATGGTAATTAATTGGAGATAAGAGTCTCAAGGACTTTCTTGCCTGGACTGGCCTTGAACCACAATCCTTAGATCTCAGCCTCCAGAGTAGATAGGATTACAGGCGTGAGCCACCAGTGCCTAGTTCTTGTTATACCTATCTCTAAAAACACAATTTATACAATTGAGCCAGGTGGGCATGCCTGTAATCTTAGCGCTTGGAAGGAAGTAGGAGAATCAAGAATTCAAGGCTAGCCAGGGAAGGGGAGGGAAGGGAAGGAAGGGAAGGGAGGGGAGGGGAGGGAAGGGGAGGGAAGGGAAGGGAAGGGAAGGGGAGGGGAGGGGAGGGGAGGGAAGGGGAGGGGAGGGGAGGGGAGGGGAGGGGAGGGGAGGGGAGGGGAGGGAAGGGAAGGGAAGGGAAGGGAAGGGAAGGGAGAAAAAGTAAGTGTTATACAACCTCTCTCTATGAACAGTTAAAATTTGCCTTAAAGTCCTAAACTCTAGATGTTTAGAAACACCTGGGTACTTGAACATTTCTCACTTTGCTGGGGGAGGGGAGAATGTAACAGTACAAATAATACCATTTAAAGACATACTGTCAGAATCCTTTGGAAAACAGAGTCTCCAATAAATTTAGTTCTTTATTTCCCCAATCCAAATAATAAGACCTGACTTACTTGGTCCTGGATGTGCTCACACACCTCCACTGTGCTTTGTGAGAATAAACACTTCACAGAAGCCACAATGGCGACTGTGGTCAGAGAACAAGGTTGCTACTGAAATCAGAGGTACCCAATGTCTTTGAGCAGAGAATACTCATTCTTTGTTTTTGTGAATGACACAGTTTCTTTGAGGAAGGAATCAACCACATATTTCATCCTTCACTGCTCAATACAGGAGCCAGGGTCCACATGTGTCTTATTGAAATATAGTTCATCCAAATTGATACATACTAGAAGTGTAAAATATACAATTGATTTCAAAGACTTAGTAACAAAAAAATTAAAAAAAAACAAAAAAAAAGAACCCAAAAGGTCTCAAAAATATTTCATAACATTGAATTCTGGGCAAAACAAAATATTATTAATAACTAATCTCACCTGTTTCCACTTGCTTCTCTTTAAAATGTGGCTATTAGAAGATTCAATAGCTCATCTATGCAATCACTGCAACGTTTCAGCTTACAATAGACCTCTACTGGACATTATCTTAGACCATGCAATCATTCTTCTCATCTTTCCACCACCCACAATAATATTTTTCCATGGTAGCTTTTAGAGCTCCCTGAATACTCAATGCATAATCTTCTCAGGATTTATTTCTGATTCCCTGTTTCCTCAGAGCAGCAGAGGAGGTCATTACATAATCTAGATAGGACCTCTTTTTGTCACATGGGTTGTCTAGCCAGACCAACTACAACAGCAATAAAACAGCCACACCTGCCAGGGAGGAAGGGATTCATGCCCAGGATAAGGGGAGATAAGTTAACAAGTAGGGAAAATAAAAACTCCAACACATTCCAAACCCTACAAGAATGCTGATTCATGAATGCACTCAAATTCTTCATAACTTCCTTTATAGAAGTACTTTAGGAATCATAGAATCTTTCTGTAGTCTAACTGGCTAAATCACCTTCCTAATCCAGATCAATTACAACCTTTCTGGTGGCTTGATGATATCGTGTGTGTGTGTGTGTGTGTGTGTGTGTGTGTGTGTGTGTGTGTGTGTGTGTGTGTGTGTGTGTGTGTGTGTGTTAAACACTGAGCGTTACTTTCAAAGCTCTCTTCATTGGCTACAGAGTACACTTCAGGTACATCATGAATTGCACAGTGAGGGTGCGTTTTGACAACCCAACTTTCCTCTTCTCTCCCCCATGTCTGTCTTACATGAACACACAGTTAGAGTAAGAAGACTCGTCTCAGATAACCATGAGTTCTATTTGCAGTCTTCTCTGAACACAGAATAGAGAGAGTTTCTCCAAGCTTCACAGCTTTGGTGCGAACCCCACACCCCACTTTTCTTCTAAGACCCTGGGTTTTCCTTACCTTGACTTGCTCATTTGAAGTTACAGCACAGAAAACAATCTCTGTGAATCCCTGGGATGGGAACATACAGAAACAGATACCACCAATAACACGGCCATCTTTAATTAAAGCAAGGGTTTTGTGTTTCCTGAAAGGATAAAATTATGTCAAAGTCTTACCAATCTTGGTTTTATAAGGATGCTCTGGGTGGTCACTAACTAACCAAAAGTGGGGGGGGGGGATATGTCTTGAATTTCTGTGGGAACTTCCTTCATTCTAGCCACTATACTTTTACCTAGGACTTGACAACAAAAGGCATCATCAGAGCACCCACCAGAACAAAATTGAATGTCCTCTAGTAAGTTCCAATGTCTAAAAGTAGCAAGAAAGTATGTGTGGAGGTGTTTTGGAACTGGCATACCCTATGCCCAGGGAACCATGGTGAGAATCAAGAAGAGAGCTCAAAGTCATGACAAACATGATACACATTTCTGCAGTTAATTCTTTTTCTTTCTTTTTTTTTTTTTTTTTTTTGGGTCCGGTCATGGGGCCTGAACTCTGGGCCTGGGCGCTGTCGCTCAGCTCTTCAGCTCAAGGCTAGCACTCTACCACTTGAGCCACAGCGCCACTTCTGGCTTTTTTCTTTTTGCTTACGTGGTGCTGAGGAATCGAACCCAGGGCCTCAGGCATGCAAGGCAAGCGCTCTACCTGATCTGTAATGTTTTTGAGTAAGAATTAACTGCAGAGGGTCTGGGAAGGTGGCTCAGTGGTAGAGCGCTTGCCTTGCATGCATGAGGCCCTTGGTTCGATTCCTCAGTGCCACATAAGCAAAAAGAAAAAAGCCAGAAGTGGCGCTGTGGCTCAAGTGGTAGAGTGCTAGCCTTGAGCTGAAGAGCTAAGGGACAGTGCCCAGGCCCAGAGTTTAGGCCCCAGGACCGGATCAAGAAAAAAAAAAAAACATTACAGATCAGGCACCACAGTAGTTAATCCAAGAATGAGTGGATTACCAAAAAGCTAATATAGCTTCTAAGTGTGTATACTGCTAAATGAATGGAGTACAGGGCAGCCAAATAGTAACTTAAAATACAGAGCATGTTAACAAGAACATTTTAAGCTGAGCACCAGAGGCTCATGCCTATAATCCTACCTACTCAGGAGACTGAGATCTGAGGATCACAGTTCAAACCAGCCTAGATAGAAAACTCCATGAGACTCTCATCTCCAATTAACTACCAATAAAGAAGCCAGAAGTGCAGCTGTGGCTCAAGTGGGAGAGCACCAGCCCTGAGGACAGTACCCAAGCTTTGGGATCAAGGGGGGCAGGGAAACAGAGAAGGAAGAGCTTACGGGTCAAAGACAAGCCGTGTGATATACTCTTTTGGCATTCGGGGCAGCTGATGGGAGAAGACGTTCTGTAGACCAACCAGCCACATCAGAATCTTCTTGTTTGGTTTCTGGTTCAGGGAATTGCCAACCACATGGAATTCAATGACACCCCTGCGCTCTTCCAGCCTCGCTGCCTCGTCCCTGGCTGAGTGTGCCAACAGAAAATTGGTCTAGGATGCAGGAGACAGGAAAAGGTCACACACAGCTACTCTGTGAAGGCAATGGCATATCAAAGCTTCTCTTCTTTGTTCTAGTCAGGTACGCGTTTGCGGATTTCCAGGGTGCAAATACACACACATGCATGCAGACACACATGCATGAACATGCACACACATTCCTCAAGTCTTGAAGACAAAATAGAAAGATAAGTAAAGCAGTGGGAGAAATCTGAGGACCACCAAGGTGCCAGATAAGCTATCAGCCAATTTTTCCATCATGTGCCTGAGAAAAAACATCTTAGACTGTTTGAGCCATAAGATCTCTGTCTTCACTTCTCAACTGTTATTACAGTACAAAGGCAGATACAGATGCTCTGTTAAGGAACAGATGTACTAAAAGAATAGGTGCATTAGTACTCCAGTTAAGACTTTAGCTAGAACACAAAATAAAACAGAGTAAATCACATTTGGCCTATGGGCCATAGTTTGCCAGTCCCTTGTTTAAAAACATAATAATAATAATCTCATTTACTTCAGTTTTAAAAGACCCATTGTGATGACAGATCCCAAATTCTCATAAAAGACCAAAACACAGTGGTCACATTCCTATTTTAGCACCTCTTTTCAGAGAACAGTTTTCTTTGCTAAGGAGTATCTGTTGACCCTCACTAAACCACAGCAGACATTACAGCAAGGGCCGGTACTCTGTGTTCCTCGTCTTATTTAATCCATCAGTGCAATGCAGGGAAATAAATGTTCCACAAACAGCTCTTCAGGGAGGAAAAGTCCTAACTGGTAGCACTTTGCTGCTTTCATTGGTCTACAGTAGCTGGATGTCCATGTGACCAGGCACCACTGTGATCAATTTCAAGCCACCAAGCTATTTAACAACCAGCTTAGAAAACTCCTAAAATTTAACTGCTTGCTTCCATGCATGCGCCAGTACCAGCCAGTTCCACACACTACAAAATCCATCTAACAAATTTCAACCATGATTGCAGTCCACTTTAGAACTCAAAACACTAAGATCAGTGAAAATATTCAATCCTTAAAAGACTAAGAGAAGAAGCTGGGCACCAGTGGCTCACGCCTATAATCCTAGCTACTCAGGATGCAGAGCCTGGGCAGGAAAGACTGTGTGAGACCCTTATTTCCAATTAACCACCAGAAAACCAGAAGTGGTGCTGTAGCTCAAGTGGTAAAGTGCTATAGCCCCTATAGCTCAGGGATAGTGCCCAGGCCCAGAGTTCAAGGCAGACAACCGACAAAAAAAAAAAGACTCAGAGAAGAGAAGAACGAGTGCTTGAAGTCCTCACAGACCAAACATCACAATGGGAAAGAATAATCGTATGATGAGATCTATTATTATTATTTTGAGGGAGCAGCACTGGGGGTTAAACTCGGAGTATTATGTTCTCCCTGGCACTCTGCCACTTGAGTCACAACTCCACTTCTGGCTTTTTGGCGAATAATTTGAGATACAAGTCTCACAGAATTTTCTGCCAGGGCTGGCTCTGAAGCACAATCCTCAAATCTCAGCCTCCTGAGCAGTTAGGATTACAGGCGTAAGCCTATAATCCTAGCTTTATTATTATTATTTTGTCGTGCCAGGGTTTAAACCCGGGGCCTCATGTAGGTTAGGCTTTAACCCTAGTCCATGAGGATATATTTCTACTAAAACAGTCCAGTTCTCTGAATTAACCTCAATATCACAGAATACCTAAAAAAAAAAAAAATGGCAAAGCAAAACTTAATCTTTTTTTTAATTGAATAGAGCTATAGTAAGAAGATATAAAAATTGTTGATAAAATAATATCCAGGCCATTTTTCCTATGGCTTAAGCCACTCTGCAATAAGTATCATGTAACAAGATAGCAGCAGTACTTTTACTAAAAGTGCTTGAATCTAATAACCAGTAAGCAAAGACAAATTCAAATAGACAGCAAAAGTGGTGACCAAGAATCAACAACAACATATCAAAAGGCCAAGAAAAAGCTGGAAAATTACTGCTTTAAAGTAAAGAGACTTAGCAGACTAGGAATATAGCTGAGTGTAGTGTGTTTTCCTCGCATACTAAGGCCGTGGGTTCAACCTGGAGCACCGCCCACAAAAAGAGAGACACTTAAAAGCATGAGGAAATCAAAGTTAGATGCAATGCTTTGTTCCCTAGTTGATCCTTCAACAACAGCAATAATTGTGACAAAGGACACCATTTAGACCGATGGGGAATTTAGATATGGGATGTATATTACACCAGGGCCAGCAAACTTTTCAATACAAGGTAGGAGGGGTGTATTTTATGCTTTTGAGATGCATATTATTTGGCAGATCCCAGTTACTCAAACCTGCTACTACATGCAAAGACAGCCACACATAGGAGCCTCCTGCTGCTCTGGAGGCTGACATGGGAGAGTCACTTGAGCCACAAATTTGAGTCCATGCACTGGTGGCTCACACCTGTAATCCTAGTTACTCAGGAGGCAGAGATCTAACCATTGAGACACAAAGTCAATGGGAGAAGGAAAGTCCAGGTGATTCTTATCTCTAACTGCCAAAAACCAGATATGGAGCTGTGGTTCAGTTGGTGAAATGCTAGCCTTGAACAAAAGGAAGGAAGGAAGGAAGGAAGGAAGGAAGGAAGGAAGGAAGGAAGGAAGGAAGGAAGGAAGGAAGGAAGGAGGGAAGGAAGGAAAATGCTGGAATGCTAGATCCAGTTTGTGGACTATAGTCTGCAACCTTATATTAGAAAACTTTATAACCAAATTTTCTGAGTGCTAACTTTGCTAAGAGTGCTAATATGCCAAGCTAAATGTTCTAAGAGTGCTAACTGCATTGTGATTTTGAAAGTGAATATCGTTGCTCCTATGAAAGCTAAGGGTAAAGTGTTTATCTCTTTTCAACTCTGAAGCCATTCTAAATGGTTCACAAGAGAGAAAAGCAGAAGATAGAGTGAAATGGGGCCTAATGTTAACAACTAGAGGGATCTACAAGTCCAGAGTTTTGTTTTATGTTTTGAACCACAGATATTCTGTAACATTTTCCGGGTTAGAAATACATCAAGATAAAAAGGGTTGCAACTGTGAGAGATTATTAGCATGAGGCTCTGTGATGTGATATTCTTTGAAGGAAATGATCTCTTGACTAGCCAACCCTGCCCTTCCCACCTGGACCACCAGGGTTCATGCAAACCTAGACAGAAGGCTAATTCTCTGCTGACAACAGAAGGCTTCATTTCTGAGAGCTTAAGGGGCTGGAAGAACAGGAGACGCCTACCAGCTCCCAGATGCCGTTTGCCCTGCTCTCCTCTGGCCCGAGCATGGTTGCAGGGTCTGTGATGGTGGACATGACCTCATGAATCAACTCCACTGGAATATCCCCCATAACCCGGGGTCTTTTGGCCTCTTCTAGAATGTGAGAGTCATTCATTTTCCTCTTCTCTCCTACAAAGATCAAAATTTAGAAGGCAAACGATAGGTACACATCATATACACATAAAACAAAATGTGAATGCCCACTGATACAACTAATTTCCTAACAGAGTTGACGGAATGGAGGTCAATATCCTCTGTGACGGAGGAAAGGGGGGGGCAGTAAAAGATGGGAAAGTGATGGGCGGGGTCATAATAATTGCCAATCGCAGATCCATTTTCTCCATCTGGGTGTCCTCTCTTTTACCCCTCTTAAGAGCTTACCTTGGTTTGCTTCAAGCCCAGATGACTTGCAGGCAGGACTCGTGCTACCTCCACTTGGCTGCTCCAGGGAAGATGAGTTTGAATTGTATGACACTGTCCCAGCCACAGGAGGTGGATTAATAACCGCCCCAAGAAAAGGGGGAAAAAAATATGAGATGACTATGTGCATAGGCAACAAGGAAACAAGAACACCTGAAATCAACACCATAGAAAGTCATCTTTAAACTAAAAACCACTTAGCATCAAGATGGTAAGAACAGAAGCCAGGCTCTAATGGCTCACACCTGTAATCTTAGCTACTCAGGAGGCTGGAATCTGAGGATCTTGGCTCAAGGCCAAGAAAGTCTCTGAGATTCTTCAAGTGACCACCATAAAACTCCAAGTAGAGCTGTGGCTCACATGTTACAGCACTAGTCTTGACTAAAAAAGCCAAGGGACAGTAGCATCCAGGTCCTGGATTCAAGCCCCGGTACTGGCAAAACATAATTAATCAAAAATAAAGCCTGGGGAAACAAGTAGCAATACGAAGCCAGCCCAAGCAGATAATGGCATAAGCCCCGTTCTCAACCCATAGGAGCCCCTGTCATCTCAGCAATGGCAGAGGCTGAGACTGGGAGAATCAAGATACTAGATTAGCCCCAGCAAGAAAGCTGATGAGACTCCATCTCCATAGAGTTCCCTGGACATTGCGGTATCTCTATGATCCCAGCAACTACAGGAAGCCTGGAAGGAGGTAGAGTATGGCACAGGCACACACACCTAGGCAGACAGCAAAACCCTATCTTAAAAACAACCAGGGGAGGGAGTGGCGCTGTGGCTCAAGTGGTAGAGCGCTAGCCTTGAGCTGAAGAGCTGAGGGACAGCGCCCAGGCCCAGAGTTCAAACCCCACGACCGACAAAACAACAACAACAACAACAACCAGGGATAAAACGAGGCTGAAGGGGTAGCTCAAGTTACACAAGTCCCTGAGTTCAAACCCCAGGAAGGCCCCCAAAATAAAATCCACTTAAGTGCCAGGCTATATGTTTTGGGTTTTTTTTTTTTCCTTGTAGCACCCAGGCCTTCTGAATTTCAAAGAGGATTTTATCAAAGAGGAAGCGCGGATGATTCAGAAGACATCTTAAGAGTATCTTGCAAAACTTTAGAGCCATCATTATAAATGTCATTCTCACAGTTGCACAGATGTGCAGACATGCCAATTAAGAAGACAATTACACTCTTCTCGCCCCTGAAGGGAACACATTGCAATTACGACGAAACACAAGACAGCTTGCTTCTGATAGCCTTCAGGTTAAGACTGAAGTGTACTCTTCAGCTTAACTGGGCACAACCTTAAAAACAACAACAACAACAAAAATAACAAAAAATAAGCTTAAAATTCCCATGCAGCCAGAGATCACCGCTGCCTGCTCCAGCCTGTGTATGGAATGGCAGATAACATGTGGCCAGAAGCAGAGCAGACAGGGAAGATTCTGAGCAGGCACAGATCAAAGGGAGTTCTCACTCACAAAGCAACCCTCTCTGGAGGCCCTCAATAAGTGAACTAAATGGACCCTGCTGAACAGCTTTGATGTTCCAAGCCCAAGGGAGGAAGCAGTGTTCATTCTCTGCTCATTCTTTCCCCAAGCCGGCGACGCTGAACACTAGCCCACACCACAGGAGAGCACTTAGTGCTTGTTCTGGCTTCTCATGTCCTACAGGAGTCAGGAACTAGGCGTGGGAGTGGAACCCAATGCCATCTCATAGAAAATCTGGTCTAGGGCAACTTGTTAACCTTCTCTGATCTTCTATGTCCTTCAAGTAAAAGGGATATTAATTCTAGTTTCCTAGAGTTTGTCAGGAGGAAGTTTCAGAGGCAAAGTACTCTGACAGTATCTGTTATTGTTGTGGTGGTAAAACTGGGCCTCTGACCATCTAAGACTTGCATTCATATTAGAGAGAAATATGGACCTAGGGCAACATGAGTATGATATTACACAATAGTTCTCAGATATGCTTGCACATTCAAATCAACCGGCTGGGAAGGTGGCTTATTGTTAGAGTGCTTGCCTAGCATGCATGAAGCCTTGGGTTCAATTCCTCAGTACCACATAAACAGAAAAGGTTGGAAGTGGTGCTGTGGCTCAAGTGGTAGAGTATTAGCCTTGAGCAAAAGAATCTCAGGGACAGTGCCCAGGCTCTGAGTTCAAGCCCCAGGACTAGCAATAAATAAATAAAATAAAATCACCTAAAGCTTTTAAAAAGTCCACAATGTCCAGCAACAACCCAGACTAAGAAAATCATGTTCTCTTATAGTATCACAAATATCCATGGATGGTTCCATTGTACAGTCATGTTTCACCACCCAGAACAGGATACATATGGTCCAGTTTCTAGGAAAGATGGGCTCTGAGGGTTCACACCTTTAACTCCAGCTACTCAGGAAGCTGAAATCTGAGGACTGTGGTTCCAAGCCAGTCTGGACAGGAAAGTCCATGAGACTCTTATCTCCAAGTAACCACCATAAAGCTGGAAGGGGAGGTGTGGTTGAGATGGTAGATCACCAGCTTCGATCAGAAAACACCAAGAAAGAATGCAAGGCCTTGAGTTTGAGGTTCTGAGTTTAAGTTCTAGTACTGGTACCCCACCCCACTCCCCTCCACACACACATACATACAAAAGATTGTAGGAATCTCTGAAAGAAGGGAGCTCTAGTGCTTGCTGGGGAACAGGTGAGGAATTAGGCAACTGAGGGAGAGGTGGCATCCGAATGCTAGGTAAGATCAGGGCAAAGGTGAAGTGAATTGCACAGGTCCAAAGAGAAATACAGTGGACATCTCCAGGAACCACACAGTATGCCCAGTCAACTCTTGACTGTGCAGTTCTACAGAGGAGACAGCACTACACACACATAGACCTTAGCGCATACTAAGGGTTTTAAGCATAAGAAACATGAAATTATGACCTAAAGTAAAAAAAGACACAGGACAAGTTTGGTAGCAAACATTCAAACAAAACAGGTTTTGATTCAAATCAAAATACCTCATTCCCTAAGCACTGTGATTTACAGGGATTTGATTACATATATCCAAGGTTGGGCAATAGATTTTAAAATAATAATTAAACAAACATCTCAAATGTTTTTGCTGACTGAAAGTAATTGGACTCAAAAAACTATATACTATATGATCTCTTCCATTTGATATTCTGGAAGACTAGACTGCATCAGATAAAAGGTTGCCAGGGCTGGGGTAGAATGATGAATGCCCTAAAAAGGGTACAGATGATCTGTCCAGAGTAATGCAACTGCACCATATTTGATAGTAATACCCAACTGTATATGCTTGCTAAAACTCATGGTAGCCTGGCACCTGTGGCATACATCTGTAATCCTGGCTACTCAGGAGGCTGAGATCTGAGGATCTCGGTTCAAAGTAAGTCTGGGCAGGAAAGTTTATGAGACTCTTATCCCCAGTTAACCACCAAAGGGACAGAAGTGTATTTGGGGCTCAAGGAGTAGAGTGCAAGTCTTGAGCAAATAGTTCAGGGACAGTGCCCAGGCCTGAATTCAAGCCCCAGTATCAGCACAAAAGAACAACAACAACAAAAAACATAAACCCCTGTGGCATACTAAGAAATGATGAGTTTTTATTTTTTAGATTTTTACATTTTAATTGTAAAGGTGATGTACAGAAGGGTTAGTTACATAAGTGAGGTAATGAGTAAATTTTCGTTTGAACAGTGTTACCCCATCTCTCATTCTCTCCAAGTTTTTCCCCTTCCAGCTTCCCTCTTCCCCAAGTTGTATAGTGTCTAGTGGGTTTCACAATGAGGTTTTAAAATAGTGAGATTATGCCTAAAATTCTTCTTAAGAATAAAATTACCTTTCCTGGATACAACCATCGCAAGTCAACATATTACCAATAACTAGAGTTCTCAAACAAAACAAAACACCCAAACCTTGATATCAAAGCGAAGACTTCTGTCTTGTGCCATCGCCAGCCATCAATTCATGTTCTGGTATTTCTACCAGGCTCCGTTGAGTGTGACTCATGCCAAAGGCAGGAACGATAATGATCAAAAAGGCAGCCATCTCCTTCCCTTACAAGACGCCATTTGAAGCCACTGGCCAACTGGAGGGAACACTTCACATCCCCAGACCCAAGACCACTCTTCTCACTATGGCACCATTACCCTCATAGTAAATTTGTGCATGAAACAGACATCATGGATGAGTTAGACTGATTCCTAGATATATCCAGCCATTGGCTGGGCCTTTAAGTGGCTTCAGAAAGAGCCAGTGTTTGGCTACAAGGCTGAGCTGCCTGGCATTTTATACTTCCCATTAAACTGTAATGAGCAAGCCATGCCTTCCTGCACATACTACTATTTTAACTATTTAGTTCACTCCTGCACTTTGCATCCACAAAGACATAACTGCAAGATTTTGGTTTATACTCACTTTCTCCTCATTAACAGTAATGCAAAGGAAGATTTGTGAAAGTATTTGCCTTTGCGTTTTTGTTTCTTTTCCTAATGAAAAACCACAAATAAATGCAATGAGAGCTACAACTAACACTTCAGGTTGACCTTCTTAGCTGCTCTCTGAGATCTGTGAAAAGAAATTTGCCTATAGCCACGTACCAGTGGCTCATGCCTGGAGTCCTAGCTACTCAGGAGGCTGAGATCTGAGGATCACAGTTCAAGCCAATCAAGGCAGAGATTCTTATCTCCAATTAATCACCAAAAAAAGCCAAAAGTAGAGGATGGCTCAGGTGTTTGAGCAAGAATGCTAAAGGATAGTACCCAGCTTCTGAACTCCAGTACTGGCACAAAGAAAAAGGAAAAGGAAACAGGAAGGAAGGAAGGAAGGAAGGAAGGAAGGAAGGAAGGAAGGAAGGAAGGAAGGAAGGAAGGAAGGAAGGAAGGAAGGAGGGAGGGAAGGAGGGAGGGAGGGAGGGAAGGAAGGAAGGAAGGAAGGAAGGAAGGAAGGAAGGAAGGAAGGAAGGAAGGAAGGAAGGAAGGAAGGAAGGAAGGAAGGAAGGAAGGGAGCTCACCTGTTTGGATTCCTAGCTGACTGGTTCTAGAAGAGATGAGAGAAAATCCTGATCCCAAATGGGAGAGTTTTGACTATAAACTTCTTCTTCCAACATGGACAGAAACCTAGACACAAAAATAAAATCAAGATTAAAAAAAAAAAAACCTTAATGTATTACTAGAGAGGCAAAAGCCCTAGAGACATTTGACAATCCCCCTAACATTGGGGTCTGGTTTTCAATTCAGAAATATCCTAGAGAGTGTGAACTAAAATGATGACATCATTGGGCAGTTCTGATCTCTTCTAAGACAGAAACACCTTCCCATACATTTATTTTGACTTATCACACATACACTGCAACACAATAAGTAGTGTTGGAAGGGGTTGATGTGCATTAATTTACCAGATTGTTATAAGGACAGTTGAAACAGAATCATTACTACATGCATTTTGCAGATGAAAAGGACCAAGTACAGAGAGGTTAAATAACTGTCAAATTCCCACCCTGAAGCCAGGTGCTGGTTGCTCATGACTATAATATTGGGTACTCAGGAGGCTGAGATCAGTGGATCCTGGCTCAGAGCCAGCTGGGGAAGTAAAGTCTAGAAAACTCTCCTCTCCAATTAACCACCAAAAAAAGCCAAAAGTGGAGGTGTAGCTCATGTGGTAGAGTCCCAGCCTCGAATGAAAAGGCAAATAGAAGCTTCCAGGTCCCAGAGTACTACTGCATACACACCAGTCCCAGTACTGGTGCACACACACACAAAAAAAATTGACAAATACAACAGTGAGGACAGAATTGTGACCAGCAATTCATTATTATTTTATCTTCTCACCATGTTATAAAGCAAAGTTTTGGGACCCATAAGTAACACCTGGAAATGTTGGTAGAAACAGACACTCAACCAAGTACTGGTGGTTCACATCTGTTATCCTAGCTACTGAAGAGGTCAAGATCTGAGGATCCAAGTGTGAAAGCTATCTAGAAAAATAAAACTCTATCACTAATAAGAGAACAAAAATCAGGACTGGAAGTATGGATCGAATAGAAGAGCATCAGCTATGACCAATTAACTGGCAAAAGGTTGGATTGGATAGATAAACTATAGAATCAACCTAGGTGCCCATCAAACGATGAAGAAATAACAAATGGGGGCTGGGAAGTTGGCTCAGTGGTAGAGCGCTTGCCTTGCATGCCTGAGGCCCTGGGTTCGATTCCTCAGCACCACATAAGCAAAAAGAAAAAAGCCGGAAGTGGCGCTGTGGCTCAAGTGGTAGAGCGTTAGCCTTGAGCTGAAGAGCTGAGGGACAGCGCTCAGGCCCAGAGTTCAGGCCCCACGACCGGACCCAAAAAAAAAAAGAAATAACAAATAGGAAATAAGGATAAAGGAAAAAGATACTGGGAGATAAAGATAAGGGATAAAGAACATTCAGTAGACACATACAATGGAGTAGTATTCAATCCTAAAGAAGAATGATCCAGGTGTGGTGGCTCACACCTGTAATTCCAGATGGCCATGAGGCAGACTTTCAGTTCAACCCCTCACTGTGTACACTAATAAAACACTGTTCAAAAAGAAGTGTACTCATTGCCTGACACATAACTGTAACCCCTCTGCACATCATCTTTACAATAAAATTTTAAAAAATAATTTTAAAAAAGTTGGATTGGAGGTGTGGTTGAAGTGGTACAACACTAGCCAGGACCAATTAATCAGCAAAACTGAACTGGAGACATGGCTAAAGTGCTAGAACATCATCTGTGACTGAAAAAGCCAAGCCAAAGTGTGTGGGCCTGAATCAAGCCCCAGTGCTGGCAGGAGAGAGGGAAGGAAGAAAGGAAGGACAGGAGGGAGGGAGGGAAGGTAGGTGGACAGGCAGATATTCAAGTCTCACCTAGGCTTACTGAGTTTTTTTCTCTAATACATAAATGAAAAATAGAAATATCTAAAAGTATTTCAGCGTACATTTTTCAAGCTGTACATTTACTTCTTTTAGAATGACACTGTGGGGCCTATTAACTCATACCCCACACTCAGGAGGCTGGGCTGTGGAACAAGACCCATCTCAAAAAGATAAAACAGGGGCTGGGAAGGTGGCTCAGTGGAAGAGTGCTTGCCTTGCATGCATGAGGCCCTGGGTTCGATTCCTCAGCACCACATAAGCAGAATGGTGCTGTGGCTCAAGTGGTAGAGCACTAGCCTTGAGCTGAAGAGCTGAGGGACAGCGGCCAGACTGTTTTGTTCAGACAAACCAAACAGGCTGGACACTGATGGCTCACACTTATAATCCTAGTTACTCAGGAGACTTAGATCTGAGGAACATGATTCAAAGCCAGCCTGCAGAGGAAAAGTCCGTGAGACTCTTATCTCCAATTAACCACCAGAAAACATGAAAGTGGACCTGTGGCTCAAGAGGTAGAGAGCTAGTGTTGAGCAAAAAGGCTCAGGGACAGTGCCCAGGCCTTGTGTTCAAGCCCCACAACTGACAAGAAAGAAGGAAAGAAAGAAAGGAAGGAAGGAAGGAAGGAAGGAAGGAGAGAAAGAAAGGAAGGAAGGAAGGAAGGAAGGAAGGAAGGAAGGAAAGAAGGAAGGAAGGAAGGAAGGAAGGAAGGAAGGAAGGAAGGAAGAAAGAGACAAACAACTAAAAAAAAATGAAATTCAGAAATCAGCCATTAGAAAATTGTAAATAATTTGTAGATTAGGGGGAGGAAGGCACTAGTTAAAGAAGAGAAAGCATACAAGGATAGAAAAGATGGGGGTCTGAACTTTGAACATGCATCAGAGAATCAGAGGCCCCACTGGGTCACTGGGTGCTGGGATGTGGGTCCTAGCTCTCACCCAGAAACAGAGATCAAGACTCAAATAAGCACCGTCAGACCACAGTAAGTGTGATTCTACTGCCAGAGCTGTTGGTATAGATCCACAATGGTCTCAGATGTTGTCATATTTGATGAAAAAGGATTTAAGAGGAGAAGTAGGTGGTAGTTTTTACCCTACCATTAGTAGCAAAAGAAAATTCAATAGCATAAGCATGCCAAAACTATGGGTTGAAGGAACAAAACACACTATAATTAGCAAATATCTGCAAGATGCATTTGCTATGGGGGAAAAAAACTTACTATGCAAAGTAATTAAGATTTCTCTTTTACTACCCTAATGTTGGGGTGGGAGGGTCCTTCTTTGTCCTTTGACCATTAACACAATGACAACTATCACATAAAAATATAAATGCCACTTATGTAGCAACTGTAATGGTGAAATAAGTAAAATGGCTTTAATATTTTGGAAAGGAATATATCTGAAAGACAGCCACTGAATATATTCGCATGCCCAGAAATCATACTATGACTTAGGGAGACTTTCAAACTTTGGCCTAAGTGCTTCAGAAAACACTAAAACATTCAGGTCACCAATTTCCCGTATTGGTTTTCTGGCAGTGGAGCTGTGACTCGAGTGGTAGAGTACCAGCCTTGAGAAAAAAAAAAAAAAGGAAAAAAAAGCTAAGGGACAGCGCCCAGGCTCTGAGTTTAGGGTCACACCTAAAACAAAATGGAAGCTCACTATAGAAAATGGTCCATGTGGGGGGGAGGGGGGGGAAGATGGGAGATGCTAAGAAAAGATTCATTGACGATTCACAAAGGGAGTCAGGGTCCTTTATCTCTCTCCTCTTTGGATGCTTTTCTGTCATTCTTGATTTTATTATTTATGCAATCTTTGGTATATGTATTTGGCAACCTCAAGTTGCTAAATGGAATCAACCCAACCACGTGGAGAGTTCTCCCCTTACTTTGGGAAATGTGTGAGGATTAGGGCTCGTTTCTCCAGAGGCAGTTTGTCCTTTTCCTGTCTTGCTTGTTCCAGGAGTTGTCGCCTCATAATGGTGAAAACTGAGCGAAGCAACGTTCTCCCGAACACCTTGGTGGTCTCGTACCGAGGTAGACTGTCACAGAACTGTGGCACATTGCAGTAACACAGCCATCTGCAACAAGAAGAGACAAGTACCGTCAAGACAAATACCGGACTCTAAACATGGCTAACCACAGCAGACAAAACCAAGTCTTCAGTGCTGATCCAAGATACTAGTCACTAGCTAGTGAAACTTGGGCTTAGATTCAACCCCTTCCCCCTCCCCCCCCCAACACACACACTAGTACTTAGAGCTGAGTCTATTGGGAACATCGGACTCTACCAGGCCGCAAGTCCTTGGATCCAATTACCACTTTGCAACTTAACTGACTACCTTGCTTTGGAAATTTTTATGTTCTTCAGTCTCTACTTCCTTACCTAGATAACAGGCACAATGATAGCATGTCACTGGGTTTGTGGATTGCTAAATCACCTGCATGATATGATTATGTTTAAAAAAAAACCAGAAAGCTGAGGAAGCTCCTTTGAGGAGAGAAGCAGAATCCTGCTACCTAGTCCCAAGTAAAATGTAAAGTTTCTTTAAGATGCCTGCTCAGCATTCATATATCACTATGGTCAGAAACTCAGTATAAATGCAGGAAGGAATAAGTTCCCACTGCTATGGTCCGAGTATGCTTTGCATTGACTCAGACTCAATGTCAAAAATGCACTTCCGCATTTTCACAGGGCTGGAGCAATGTCCAGAACACAGGGGGGCTCCTTAAGGGGTTCTTTAGATCTTAGCACAGGGAGTATGTGGGCCACAGAAGCCGTTCAACTTAGAAAGCCCCTTCAGATATGACCACCTTCTTTGTGGAGAGGCATCTCCTAGAGATTCAAGTTCTGTAAGAGTTCAGGACAGAGCAACATGCGATAATATACAACAGTACGAGTCATAGATGGTGGCCCCAAACCAGGGGAATCCTGTCAGGAAGGGGTATTATATAGATCCTTACTCCCTGAGACCAGTCAGACACAAATCACCTTCTTCTACTCATTGGATCCTTTCCAAAAACTACCACCTCTCCTCACTTAAGAGGGAAAGCAACTGAGCCCAAACTATTACAGGAAGCGCTTGATGAACTTTAACCCTGAGTAAAGAATGAAGCAATATTCACTGGCCTTGTTTTGGGTTTTGAGGTTTTTTTAAATCTTATTCTGTACATTACCCCTGTGGTGGTTAGCGTTATTGCCTCTGCCTAAATTCACAATCTTAAAACCCTGCTAACCACTTCTATTTCTTCTCTCACCTCATCTCTATTTTCTAACATCTAAATGTTTTATATTTATAATACTGAAGTGAGAATCCTAAGTGTTGTGTTGTATCCAGTCAACTCAGAAACAAGTATCTTCATAGCAAAAAAAAAAAAAAAAAAAACCCTAGAAATAGAATTACTATACTATATTCTGTAATTCAGAAAGTAACCATTTTCAAGCCAGGTAACTACCTAGCTACTCAGGAGGCTGAGATCTGAGGATAGTGCTTCAAAGCCAGGCCAAGCAGAAATGTCTACAAGACTCTTATTTATGACTCACACCTACATCTATATGCTGAATTAGAACCTAAAGAACATTTTCCCTCTGCTGACAGGTCCACAGATACCAGAGACCCTGAGACTAATGGTATTTCTGCTACAGAAATTATAGATCATAAATATTATCATGAAACTCATTCACTTTATCCAAAAGTACGTAAGAGGCCATTCATTCTTCACAGTGTGAAGGAAAACAGCACAGATTGATATTACCCAGTAAAATTGTTCAAATAACCAGTTCCCACTCATTTCCTCTGAGTCATTTTACAGACATCAACTTAGGCTTTTCAGCCTTGTTTTTATTTCTAGGATTAACCTTTTTTTATAATCTGTCAAGTACATAGTAGATAAGATAAGGAGACTGAGTCGATACCCATAATTGGGTGATATTGTTTTTAATAAACTGACATGGTGATTGCATGTCTTGTCACAAAGAAGGGCATGAGTATATGGGGCTGGGAAGGTGGCTCAGTGGTAGAGTGCTTGCCTTGCATGCATGAGGCCTTGGGTTCGATTCCTCAGCACCACATAAACAGAAAAAGCTGGAAGTGGCTCTGTGGCTCGAGCAGTAGAGCACCAGCCTTGAGCTGAAGAGCTGAGGGACAGCACCTAGGCCCAGAGTTCAGGTCCACAACCGGCAAAAAAGAAAAAAAAAAAAAAAAGAATCTCATGGGATTTCCTATCTGGGCTGGCTTTGAACTGGGATCCTCCCTTCTCAGCCTCCTGAGTAGCTTGGAGTATTATAACAATGAGTCACAGGCACCTAGCTGATCCTTTTTAAGATGAAGTTTCACTAGTTGGCTAGGTAATAAAATCAGCCTTTCCCACAAAGAATCCAGTTTCACCCTATTATCATGCTAATGTTGAGCATGAGAAGTCTTAGGTTCCTTTGTTCTAACTGCCACCAGGGTGTAAATGATGATCTGAGTCAACAGGAGATGCTGAGCTTCTCTTACCCATGAAGACAAAACCTCCAGGGGCCTGCAGCTTAAATAACATTAACCAGTGTTGACCCCTAGTATCAGGGAGACACCATGCTGGGGTGCTGTGTGGATTATAGCCATTTGCACATGGAGTCCTGGCAGTAAGTCTTCATTCTGCAAGGGAGCCTGACCCTCCTAACTTGTAGAGTTTGATCCTTCAGATGTGGCAATCATCTACCTTCATTTTCTCACTTATTACTAATAGGGACTCTGGATTCTGTTCCACTAGAAATCAGCAGGTGTCAGAAGTCATCAGGACATATTCATTTCCGTTCCTCTTATCTCTTTTTCTTTTTCTTTTGGTCGGCCGTGGGGCTTGAACTCTGGGCCTGGGCGCTGTCCCTCAGCTCTTCAGCTCAAGGCGAGCACTCTACCACTTGAGCTACAGCGCCACTTCCGGTTTTCTGGTGGTTTATTAGAGATAGGAGTCTCACGGTCTCTCCTGCCCGGGCTGGCTTTGAACCGCGATCCTCAGATCTCAGCCTCCTGAGTAGCTAGGATTACAGGTGTGAGCCACCAGCGCCTGGCTCCTCTTATCTCTTCACCATGGGCTGGCCATGGTTCCATCTTCAGAGTTGCCTCCAGATTCTGAGCTGTAAAATATTCTTCTTTCATCTTTCCATTCCCTATTATCTTAGCTTCTGACATGTGATATTCAAATAATTATACTCCCAATTCACTGTCCACTTAAGGCTGTAGCTTACCAGCCTGATCTCAGGAAGAACTGACTTAGAGAACAAGGCTGTGGGAGAAAATAATGAGTAGTATCTTCCTGAAGCTGTTGGGTCCCTGCTCCCACATGTCTGTGGAACCCAATGCTCAAAAGTCTTGACCAAAAAAATGGGAGGTCAAAGAAATGAGGAGATAAAGTCTCTCAAAAGTTCACTCAGCTAGGAAGACACGCAGCCACAAAACAAACCTAGTGATTCACAGCCTCGTTTGTTATTCCATAAGTATTTGTAAGTACAACTTAGTTCCTGACTAATTTCCAAATACTGCCCTATATTTTTATCCTGATTTTAATTTTTTTTTCCTGTCTGTCAGTTCTGGGGCTTGAACTTGACAGTGCCTGGGCACTGTCCTTGAGCTCTTTTACTCAAGGCTAGCGCTTTACCACTTTGAGCCACAGCTCTACTTCTGATTGTTGAGTGGTTAATTGGAGATAAGAGTCTCACCAGGACTTTTCTGCCCAGGCTGGCTTCAAACTGCCATCGTCAGATCTCAGCCTCCTGAATACTGTACCTGGCTTGGTTTTTGGTGGTTGTTGTTGTTTGTTGTGTTGTTGTTGTTTTTAAGGTACTGGGGTTTGAATTTGGGGCATCGTGCTTGTTGGAATTGCTTGCTTAGACTGTACCACTTGAGTTATACCTCCAGCCTGGCTTTTTGCTGGTTATTTTAAAGGTGAAGTCTCACAGACTTTTCTGCCCAGACTGACTCTGAACCTCGATCCTCTAACTCTCAGTTCTGTAAAGTGGCTAGGATTACAGGTATGATCCACTAGCTCAAGACTTCATCTTGATTTCTAGAATGAAGGCGTGTGTCTGCTGCTCCACATTTATGCTGTTTTCTCAATGCAGCAATCATTTTCTGGGTTATCAGTTGCAAAGGCATTTGGAGGTTTGGCTTTGACAAGATTCAACCTTGTCAATTGTTCATCTATAGGGTTAAAAGACATATTTTTGAGAGATCTGCTATCTCTCATGAGAGTTATTGTGGCTAGGTGTCACTGGCTTCACCTATAACCCCAGCTACTTGGTATCTGCAATATATCACAAATACTGTTGTTTCTGCATGTGATCAATATTAAGAAATAATAACTACTGGGACTGGAAATGTAACTGGGGTAGAGTGCTTAGCCTGCATGTGCAAAGCCCTGCTCGGTCTCTACCACTACAAATAGAAATGCATGCATATGGAAACAAAGCTTTCAAAGGCCTTTTTTTAATAGGCTCACTCAGCACTGCAATTTGAACTCAGGGTTTTGCACTTGTTCCACTTGGACCATGTCTCCAACCATTTAAAAGTTACTGTCTGGGGATGACACTGTTCAAAAAGAAATGTATCTGGTTGAACCACTACTAAATATCCCCATGCTGCTGATCACAAACATGGTATATAACATGTGAACACTGTTATATATTACAGACTGTGGTAGACAATTTGCTCCAGGGAAGTTAGAATGAACTTGTGACTTTGAAATTATGTAATCATTTAATCACAATAAAAAAAAAAAAGAACCTCGGGGAAGGGAGGGAGGGAGGGGATGGTAGGGGGAAAACAATGGAGGGGGTAACAATGTTCAAGAGGAAGTGTACTCATTACCTCACTCATGTAACTGTAACCCTCTGTATAGTAGCTTTACAATAAAATAAAATTTAAAAAAAAAAAAAAAAAAGAAATGTACTTGGCAAAGCAACACATGAGGAAATGTTCACCATCCCTGGTTGTAAAGGAAATGCAAATAAAGACAACCTTAACATACCACCTTATCCCAGTCAGAATGGCCCACATCCTCAAGTCAGCCAAGGACAAATGCTGGAGGGCATGCAGAGAAAGAGGAACCCTATTACACTGCTGGTGGGAATGTACACTTATACAACCACTTTGGAAAGCAGTCTGGAGGGTCCTCAGAAAGCTAAAGATTGACCTCCCTTATGACCCAGTCATACCACTTCTAGGCATCTATCAACAGGAACCAGGATACAAGGACACATGCACCTCCATGTTTATTGCAGCACTGTTCACAATAGCCAGGATATGGAAACAACCCAGATGTCCCACCACAGATGAATGGATCCAAAAACTGGTATCTATACACAATGGAATATTATGCAGCCATTAGAAAGGACAAAATAATGGCATTTGCAGGGAAATGGATGGAGCTAGAAGAAATCATGTTGAGCGTGGTAAGCCAAGAGCAAAGAGACAGAGACAAACTGCACATAGTCTCCCTGATAAGTGGATGTTAAATCCAAAACGTAAGGTGATACGTCAAAATTAACAAGGCTGAAGAAACAAAGGACTTCCACTCATCTGGTCGAATCACTACTAAATAACCTCATGCTGCTGATCACATATATGATATATATGTGCACACCGGAGGGAAACCAGGAGGAGGACACAGAACTAGAGGGAATCAGGGAAAAACATACAACAGCAGGACCCATCAGCTGCACTGGACATTGATCAAAACGAACTAAGCAACTCAATGGCAGCGATGGGAGGGAGGGAACCAGTGGGAAAGAGGGAACAGCTGACGCTATGCAAAACAACAGAAATGTACATATCACCCAATGTGGAAGAAATAACTGTATCGCAAAGCTCATAGAACTCACAAATGTTACAGACCATGATAGACAATTTGCCCCATGAAAGTTAGAATGTGTTTGTGACTTTAACTAAGCATCACTATCCCACAATACTGTGAAATTTGGGAAGTTATGTAATCACTTAATCACAATAAAGAATTTGGAAAAAAAATAAGAATACAGATTACTTAGCTCTTGGAGCTTCGCAAGTGCATTACTATTATAAAATCCTTTTCAAATGTCAAGTGTCATGTAACTACTTGGTCGTAAAGTATTTGATTAGTATGCCAACTACACTATTGACACTGAATGCTCTCTTAAATATGGAATGCATTATTGGATTTCCTAAGCAATAAACAAGTTTGTTTTGTTAAAAAAAAAAGAAATGTACTCATTACCTGACTTATGTAAGTGTAACCCCTCTGTACATCACCTTTATGACAATAAAAAAATATAAAAGTTACTGTATGTGTGTCGTGTGACATTCACACATGTGTAATCTTTCAATTCAAGCTGGGCATGTAGCACTCACTTGCAGTCTTAGCATCTAGGAGGTTAAAGTAGGAAGATCATATCTTTGAGACACCAACCTGAGCACATCTCAAGATTCCTCACAGAAGAGGAAGAAATGGAGGAAGACAAGGAGGAGCACAAAGAGGAAGAGAAGGAAGAGAAGGAGGAGGAGTAGAAGGAAGTGGAAGAGAGGAGGAGGAGGAAGGGGAGGAGGAGGAAGAAGAAGAAGAAAGTGTTAGGAATGAACATGAATAAAGTACTTTATATACACATACGGAATTTTTAAAGATGAAATCTCAAGTCACTCTAGCCCCTTCTCAAGCGGTCACTCTAGTGTTTACAAGTGCCACCTGAGGAAACAATCATATTGGATGGCATAGGTCTGGATGGAGGATCTCCATTCGTGACCCTTAGAACACTGTGACAGGAATGGAAAGCTTCATTATACAAACATCTGTCCAAATGGCTGGAATCACCATCATAACTGGACAACCTTCCACTCACAGAGGAACACAGTAATTTCCTGTCTGTTGCATGCTCTGTGCAGCCGCTGCGGGCGAAGGGTTCATCACCAGCTTACCTTGTGTAGTTTTCTTTGTATCCAGAAATGTCATCATTGGGAGAGCGCAGTCGGCGCTGAGACGGCGCCTCCAGATGCCAATAGTTGATGCGGTTTAGGAACATCTTTGCCAACTCAATGATTGTTTGCCTTTCTTTGGAGGGCAGGTGGCAGAATTTGTACTGTACAAAGTTATTCACACCCTGAAACGGAGAGCAAATTATTCTTGAAGCTATGCAATCACATGATTCTAAACACCTGCGTCTATAACCAGCATCTATAACCACTGGGGTTATCACTAAAGAACAGATTTTTTTTTTTTTAATTCACCAAGTTTTCTCCTCTGGCCTTGAAAGGAAACAACTATGTCCTGAGAGAATTGTGCCTGAAGTCAGTGTAGAAAAGAGATCAAGATAGAAAAAACTAGGAGTGGTTATTCTGTGTTTGCTTCAATCCTGAGGCATTAAAGCAAAAATAAAAACCAAGAACTATCTGGGCACTAGTGGCTCACACCTGTAATCCTTGCTACTCAGGAGGCTGAGCTCTGAGGATTGCAGTTTGAAACCAGACTAGACAGAAAAGTTGGTGAGACGCTTATCTCCAATTAACCACCAAAAAAAACCTGAAAGTGGAGCTGTGGTAAGTGGAAGAGCACCAGACTTGAATAGAAAAGCTAATGAACAGCACTCAGGCCCTGAGTACAAGCCCCAGTACAATCTTTTTTTTTTTTTTTTTTTTTTTTGTCGGTCATGGGGCTTGAACTCTGGGCCTGGGCGCTGTCCCTCAGCTCTTCAGCTTAAGGTGAGCGCTCTACCACTTGAGCTACAGCGCCACTTCCCCCAGTACAAATCTTTTAAACAATAAATTGCTGGGCACCAGTGGCTCATGCCTATAATCCTAGCTACTCAGAAGGCTGATATCTGAGGATCATGGTTCAAAGCCAGCCTGGGTAGGAAAGTCCATGAGACTCTTATCTCCCATATACCACCAAAAAAAAAAACAGAAATGGCACTGTGGCTCAAGTGGTAGAGTGCTCACCTTGAGCTGAAGAGCTGAGAGATGGTGCCCAGGCCCAGAGTTCGAGCCCACAACCGACAAAAAGAAATAAAAGTTAAAAAAATAAATTATAGCTCTTCTGAAGAATAAATCCTACTACCAGCAGAGTCATTCACATATAATGCAGTTCTTGGATAATTATAAAGCTTTTCTTTGTAAAAAATTTAATCAAAATTTTATCTTCTGCTGAACTAAACAAAATTTCTAGCCAGGCATGGTGACACACATCTGTAGTTCCAGAACTCAGGAGGTGAAGACAAGGAGAGTCTAGCTCCAGGCCAGCCTAAAGTACATAGCTAGACCTTCTTTCAAGAAAATTAAAAAAAAAAATAAAAAAAATAAGAAAAGGAAAAAAAAAGAACGTTAAAACCAATACATAAATAAATAAACAAACCACACCTACCCATGAACTGAACCACTACAAATTTAAAACTTTATTATTAATCATATCAGAAGAAAAAAAATCTTATACCAAGTTAAGCACTTTTTCTTTCCTTTTTTTTGTTGTTTGGGGAGGGGGAGGGTCTGGTCGTGGGGCCTGAACTCTGGGCCTGGGCGCTGTCCCTCAGCTCTTCAGCTCAAGGCGAGCGCTCTACCACTGGAGCTGCAGCGCCACTTCTGGTTTTCTGGTGGTTTATTGGAGATAGGAGTTTCACGGTCTCTCTTGCCCGGGCTGGCTTTGAACCGCGATCCTCAGATCTCAGCCTCCTGAGTAGCTGGTGAGCCACCAGCGCCTGGCTTGTTAATGGCTTTTTGCACTGAATAAAAAATATATTTTTTCTAGCCCTTATATATTTTAATTGCTGAAAACATTTTATTAAATGAATATGCTATAATTATAGCAATAGTGTTTATACATTCTATAATTTTTTTTAATTGGTCATGGGGCTTGAACTCTGGGCCTGGGCGCTGTCCCTGCGCTCTTCAGCTCAAGGCGAGTGCTCTACCACTTGAGCCAAAGCCCCACTTCCGGTTTTCTAGTAGTTTATTGGAGACAAGGGTCTCACAGACTTTCCTGCCCAGGCTGGCTTTGAACCACTATCCAAAGACTTCAGTCTCCTGAAGTAGCTGGGATTACAGGCATGAGCCACCAACGCCCAACTACATTCTATAATTTTGACATTGTCTTTTGTGCATTTATATTCACTTTGCATAAAACTGTGGAAGCTATAAAATTGAAAATTTATTGACAACTGATATTGTCTGCATGCAGTTCACTTGGTACTGATCTTGAGATATTTTCCTAACCATTCAATGGCTAGAGAACCAGCATGGTAGACACTGCATGAGGATGTTAAGATCACATTTTAAGTGCCCATTTGTAAGCTGCAGATTTCCATATGAATTACACGTTGATGACTGAAGGTCTGCTTGTGAAGTTCACCTGCTGAACCCCTACAAGCTGTAAAACAGAGTTTATAGGTTTGTGATCCAACCTATTCTTATCACGATGTATAAAATGGATGTTGTTACCTAGAAGAGAATAAGATTAAAATGCTGAGGTTGCATATTAAGTATTATTCATTAGATTTATTGCTTATCGGAATGAAAGAAGCTTTTCAAATTTTAATTGGTCCAAAGGGACCAATATCATCTTCACTAGTGTCACAATAATTTTAAATTATGGCAATAAAGCATGACAAGAATAGAGTTAAATAAGTTATTTAATGCATTATGAGTTCTAATGGGAAAGATTCTTGAATTGTAACAGTGTGTTAGTCTTATTAAAAACAGTTGAATAAAATGTGCTGTCAAACAAGCAACATATGGAATGTAGATGTAAGCTCAAAAATTACATGTACCATTTAAATGGAAGAAATCACTTCCTTCAAAAAATACACTACCAGGGATAGAAGGCTTGTGTAGCACTCAGCTCCCTGGGTTTGATCCCTAGCACTACAAAACAAATGGAAGCAAAACAGGACAAATACTCCTAAAAACTTATTTACTTTGGTGCCAGTACTAGGGCTTGAATTCAGAGGCCTTGTGTTCTCATTTGGATTTTTGCTTGTAGTTGGTACTCTTCTACCTCAGCCATGCTTTCAGTCCAACATTTTCTGTTGTTGTTGTTGGTCATGGGTCTTGAATTCTGGGCTTGGGCACTGTCCCTCAGCTCTTCAGCTCAAGGCCAGTGCTCTACCGCTTGAGCCATAGATCTACTGGTTTTCTAGTGGTTTAGTGGAGATAAGAGTCTCACGGACTTTTCTTCTCCACGCTGGCTTTGAACCATGATCCTCAGATCTCAGCCTCCTGAATAGCTAGGATTACAGGCGTGAGCCACCGGTGCCAGGCTCAGTCCAACATTTTGATGTCTACTTGGAAGCAGGGACTCTCAGATTTTTCTGTCCAGGCTGGCTTCAAACTAAGATTCTCCATGTCTCAATTTTATAAGTAGTTAGGATTATAGGTGTGTGCAACTAGCACTTGGCTCCAAATACTGATTTATTAAGTTGTTTATAAACCTACCCCAAAACAGGTTAAAAAATAAGGCATTAAGAAAGTCAGTTATTTACACTTAAAGGTTCACAATCCCTGTGTCTGCTCAAATAACTGACAATTACAGTTTATGTTCTGTTGTTTTTGATTCTTAGACTCAAAGCCAGATACTAACTATAGATTAAGTTGTATGTTTTCTTCATTGTATTCATTTGCCACCTATAGTAAATCACTAGATTGGATACCAGAAGTTGAGTTATGATCAAATAAGGCAAAATGAAATACTAGGTTAGCCAAGATGCAGATTTGTGTACACATGTACTCTATTCTTTGGAGGGGTTACATTTTTTCAATGTGTAGCACAAAGGATACAGATTAGTGTATACATGTACTCTGTTCTTTGGAGGAGTTACATTTTTTCAATGTGTAGCACAAATATATTCTCTTAAATATGTTTCCAACTTGGCAATCAAGTAGCCTACTCTAGGAACTAAAGTGGCTCAGGTGCTAAGGTGGTTCAGAAACTTGGAAAGGACTCAAAACATAACCTCTTCTGTGGATAGACATTAGTCATTCAAAAATAAGCCTTTAGGGGCGGAGCATGTACTTCTGCAGTAGAGCACATGCATGGTATGCAGCAAGTTCTGAGTTCAAGTCCTAGGACTGCAAAAGGAAACAAAAACAAAATCCAGTTCTAACCCAGGGTATAGCGCAGAGCAAAAATGCTTGTGTGAGGCCTTGGATTCAATTGATACTACCAGACAAACCCCAAAATGCCTCAATAGCATTTAGGGCAAATCTGTTGGACTCATTCTCAAAGTTTAAATCATGCACTTAAGGCATCAACCCTATCCAAAAGGGCTTCTTTTAAAACTTGTGGACCCAGTATAAATTCATGAGAGGGAAGGAAAGGAAGATGATAGCTGCAAGCCAGGGCCTAGTGGCTCATGCCTCTAATCCTAGCTACTCAGGAGGCTGGGATCTGAGGATACTGTTTTAAAGCTAGCCTAGGCAAGAAAGGCTGGTTAATCTTCAATTAACTAGCAAAAAGCTAGAAGTAGAGCTGTGGCTCAAGTGACAGAGTACTAGCCATTAAGTAAAAAAGGTAAAGGTCAATGTCTAGACCCCAGACTGTATGAATTTCCTAGTTTGTTAGGATGAAGAAAGGGCTTGATGATTCTCCCTTATTCAAAAGTGCCCACCTTCACTGAGCAATTGACGTATATATTTTTTGTGCTGAGTATAGAACCCATGGCTGCTGGCATGCTGAGCCTGTGCTCTCCTAAGAAGCAAGAGCCCTTAACCACTGAGCTTTGTAAAGGAGTGCAGTAAGTGTGATAGTCATATACCCATCACCAACTCACAATTGGCTTTTCCTATCCCAAACTCCTGCACTCAGCCCAAGAATGATGAGCCCTCACTAGACATCAAAAAATGAATCTCTGGAGAGAAAAAGGGCCCTATGAAAACAGGCCCCTACTAGGTGTCAAGCTGCCCTTTTCTAACTTGTTATTTTTTGGTGCTGGTCTTGGGGCTTGAAGTCAGGGCCTGGGCACTGTCCCTGAGCTCCTTTTGTTCAAGGCTAGTGCACTGCCACTTGAGCCACAGCTCCACTTCCAGCTTTTTTGGTAGTCTCACAGACTTTCCTGCCTGGGGTGGCTTCTACCTCAGCCTCCCGTGTAGCTAAAATTAGCAAGGTGCCCATTTTAATACAATATCTATGTTATGAAGAATGTGGGTGGTCTTTGGACTTGTAAAAGAAACCAGAAGTTTTAGATTTTTAAATTTTATTTTTATTTTGGTTTTGGTCTTGGGGCTTGAACTCAGTGCCTAGGTCCTGTCCCTGAGGTTTTTATGCTTATAGCTCATGCTCTACCACTTTGGGCCACAGTGCTATCTCTGGCTTTTTGATAGTTACAACTGGAAGGTAAGAGTCTCATAGACTTTACTGCCTGGGCTAGTTCTCAACTATGACCTTCAGATCTCAGCCTACTGAGTAGCTAGGATTACAGGCGTGAGCCACAGATACCCAGCTGGATTTTGATGCTCACTCACCTGGACCTAAAATGAGAGATCCACCTTGATGAGTAGGGTCTCCTTGGAAATCAAAAAGAGGGCTATTCACTGCTCGCCATAGGCTCCAAAGACTTCCCCAGAGCAGATTTGACTTTATGTGAGGGCTCTGTCCTAAAATATTGAAAACTGCTATTAGATATTATTTTATATTACACAAAATATTAAGATTATATTAATACTTCTAAACTTAATCTAATATTGGGATTATTGTGCTGTAATTCCAGTACTCAGGAGGTTGAGGCAGGAAGACCAGGAGTTCTAGGTCTGCCTGAGCTGCTTTCACAACTTAGTTGTCTCAAAAATACCAAAAAATAAATTTAAAAAATGGTATTAAGCTAGAGCTCCCATAAGCAATTCTCCATGCTCCTTCTACATCCTAAGAGCCTTGGGTTGGCAAGAACAGAGGCACATGGTAGAAGAGGCCTGGGTCCTTGAACTACTACTTGGAGGTGTGGCACTTCAACAGATACACCATCTGGAAATGTATATGAACACATACCCATATCTACCATGTTATACTACCTTAGACTTTGGGGTTCTGCTGTAACTTTGGCTACCTCCCCATGTTTCCCTCACCTACTTCTGTTTTCTACTCTGTTCTCAGTTTACTGGTCCTTCATTTCTACTCCTTTTGAACAGAGAATCAGTTTTTCACCTTTTTGTTGTTTTGTTTTTGTTGGCTGCGGGGCTTGAACTCAGGGCCTGGGTGTTGTCCCTGAGCTCTTTTGCTCAAGGCTAGTACTATACCACTTTGAGCTGCTGGTTTTCTGGTGGTTAATTGGAGATAAAGAGTCTCATGGGGACTTTTCTGCCTGGGCTGGCTTTGAAGTGGGATCCTCAGATCTCAGCCTCCTCAGTAGCTAGGATTACAGATGTGAGGAACAGGTGCCCAGCTCCACTTTTTTTTTGTGTGTGCCTGTGCTAGGGTTTGAACTCAGGGCCTGGGCACTCAACCATTTGAACTACAAACAGTTCCACTTCTGGCTTATTAGGTACTTAATTGGAGATGAGTCTCCTGACTTTCCTCACTGGGCTGGCTTTGAACAATGATCCTCAGATCTCAGCCTCCTGAGTTGCCAGGATTACAGGTGTGAGCCACTGGTGCCTTGCTCTCCATTACTTTTTTTTTTTTTGTCCTGGGGCTTGAACTCAGGCTCTGGACAGTATCCCTCAGCTTCTTTTGTTCAAGTGGTAGGCTAGTGCTCTACCACTTGAGCCACAGTTCCACTTCTGGCCTTTTCTGTGTATATAGTATTGAAAAATCCAACCCAGGGTTTCATGCATGCTAGGCGAACACTCTACCACTAAGCCACATTCCCAGCCCCTCTCCACTACTCTTGTAACTTTTTCCCCCCATTCTTGCCTTGTCTGTGCCTTTTAATTCGATGACTATGTAGAAAAAACAAACTTAGACCCAAACTCAGTTTTTCCTATTGCACACTTGTAATATACAACACTTCTGACTTTAGATGTATAAGAGTTATTCTTCACATTGGCACAGTAACACCAGCTAGGTGTCCTCTAATTCAGTGCCATTATGACATCACCTACCTGATGATAACATCAGATTCCACAGATGAGGGTTTGGTCCTCAAGACTGCCCCCCACCCCAATTCAGATGACAGTCATAAACCCCAGAGTGTTTATCATAACTGTGTTTGTAGCTAAAATCCTGTGTTTGTGGTTAAACAACCCCCTCTTTGGGTTCCATTAATCTGCTTAAGTGACGTACAGAATTTCAAGAAACATTTATATTTACCAGTTTGTTATACAGAAAATTAAAAAAGCTACAGATGACTAGGCAGGTATAGGGGAGGGCAAAGAGCCTTCATGCTCTCTGGGTATGCTGCCCTCCGATCATTCCTCTCTGTTCTGCTCTCTGAAAGACCCTGCCCTTCTGGGTTTTTATAAATACTTCACTGTGTAAGCATGAACAATCATGTGGAAACGTGACTGGATAAAGAAGGCTGAAGCTGATACTTGGTAAGTGGAGAAACAAACCCTGCAAGGCTCATCTGCTCAGATGCCTTTGGCCTGTGGGGCTGACCCTCCTGGGTACTGGCAGGCAGGACTCCTGAGATGTGGGTCTTATGATCTGCTATCAAATAAGCAGGTCAGAGAATTTTTTCATGGCCAGAAGGCCAGGGGAAAGATTATGTTTTTAGTTTCCATGTCCTGCCTTGGAGAAGTGAAGTTCAGTTTCTATAGTCTGCCCTTTGGAGGTAGTTATGAGATGGGAACTATAGGTAAAAAGCAAAATAAGCCAGGTGCTGGTGGCTCTCATCTATAATCCTACCTACTCAGGAGGCTGAGATCTGGAAGATGAAGTGTCAAAGCCTCTCTAGGCAGAAAAGTCCGGATATATTATCATCTCCAACTCACTGACAAAAAGCTGGACTACTGTTGTGTCTCAAGTGGTAAGAGTACCAGCGGGGTGAAAAAGCAGAGAAGAAGCATGAGGCCCGAGTACTGGCACAGAAAATAAAAAATCCAAAAAAAACCACACACACACACACACACACAGTATCACAGTGGAGTACTGGCACAGAAAATAAAAAATCCAAAAAAACCACACCCACCCACCCACCCACCCACACACCCACACACACACACACACACAGTATCACAGTGACTATGCAGCCTTAACTTGTCTGGATTTCTAACTTGCCAGGGCTGGCTTTCAGCCATGGTCCTCAGATCTCAGCCTCCTGAGTAGCTAGGGTTACAGGTGTGAGCCACTAGCATCCAGCTTTGCATTATTATTATTTTTTTTTTGGGTCCGGTCCTGGGGCCTGAACTCTGGCCTTGGCGCTGTCCCTCAGCTCTTCAGCTCAAGGCTAACGCTCTACCACTTGAGCCACAGAGCCACTTCCGGCTTTTTTTTTTCTTTTTGCTTATGTGGTGCTGAATCAAACCCAGGGCCTCATGCCTGCAAGACAAGCGCTCTACCACTGAGCTACCTTCCTAGCCCCCCAGCTTTGCATTCTTAGTATTTCCAAATATCCTTTGCTTCTCTTCTCTCCAACTCTTATAATTCTTTCATGTTTCTATAAGGATGAGTATCCAACTTTCCACAGGATAAATTCAAGCTAAGATAAAGACTGTGTTTTACTGTTTTATAGGATTCTATAGCTGCACTAACTGTTCAAGAATTCAGATTATCTCCTTATGTCTTTTTTTTTTTGTGGGGGGGGCTCGGTCATGGGGTTTGAACTCAGGGTCTGGGGCTATCCCTCAGCTATATTTTTGCTCAAAGCTAATGCTGTACCACTTTAAGCCACAGCACCACTTTCAGGTTTCTGTTGGTTAATTGGAGGTAAAAGTCTCATGAACTTTCTTTCCCAGGCTGGCTTAGAACAGTGATTCTCAGACCTTAGCCTCCTGAGTAGCTAGGATTACAGGCCTGAGACACCAGCAGCCCATCTTAGGTTATATACTGGATCAGAAATTTCAGAAACCTAGGTAAAGAAACGTCATGGCTTAAGAGCTGAACATTCTCTGTTGTCAATTACTATCTAATTTTCTCCTCTTGCCAGTTTGAATTTAGTTCTTTTTTTTTCTTTTTCTTTTGGGCTGGTCCTGGCTTGAACTCAGGGTCTGGGTGCTGTGCCTAAGCTTTTTTCACTCAGCTACAACTATACCACTTGAGCCACAGTGCCACTTCCAGCTTTTCTGAGTAGTTGATTAGAGATGAGTCTCATGGACTTTTCTGCCTGGCCTGGCTTCAAACTCAAACCGAGATCCTCAGATCTTTGCCTCCTGAGTATCTAGGATTGCATGTGTGAGCTACAGGGGCACAGCCTGAATTAGTTCTTATGTGTGAAACTGTTTTTCATGTTTGCACAAACAAATCAGTCTCTCCCCTTTATAGGCTATATTTTCTTATTCTTTGCCTTTATAAAAATGGGTACAATTAATCTTAAATTATAATTAAAAATTATGAGACTATTCTGAGAATGATTCTAAATTTCATGCTTTGTTGGGAGAAAACTTTAAAAATGCTTGTGAGAAGCCAGGTACAGGTGGCTCATACCTGTAATTCTAGCTACTCAGACTGAGATGTGAGGACCACAGTTTGAAGCCAGCCGGGGCAGGAAAGTTTTTGAGATTCTTATTTCCACTAAACTACCAAAAAAGCTGAAAGTGGAGGCGTGGCTCTCAGAGCAAAGGAAGTTCAGGCATAGTGCCCAGGCCCTGAGTTTAAGCCCCAGGACCAGCACACACACATACACAAAAATGCTTATGAGAATGTAATATTTGCTGTCTAAAATTATTTTAACATTATAAAGCAAAAAATGCTACGTAGTCAAATGTAGTTATATATACTCTATGTAATACATGCCTTATATATGATATTGTATAATTACAGATTATATGCAGATACACATATATATAATATACAAATTATATAATTGCATTAATAGCTGTATATTACATACAGTATATGTATTACATTATACATTATATATAGTATGGAAAGTATATTTAAAATAAAGATTCAAATATACCTTCATAATTACAAGCATGTTTTTGGTTTTCTTTGCATATCTTTATTTGGCAATGAATGAAGTGTTACTGAAGAAGAGAAATTCACAGTTTCTATCTAAAGTGCTAAATGATCAAAAGAACTTACACATGTGGGACTCTGTTACAGCACGTGAACACAGTATAACAAAAAGTAGGGTTCTAATATGTTCTGTTACAATTTCTTCTGCTAGTGGAGAAACAAAACTCTTGATTTTGCTAGCTCATCATCACTTTAATAAAGGCTGCTTTGTTTTAAACATCAGCAAAAGGAGACAATCAACTTCATAACTAGACCAGGTCCATCTCTACTTCAGGTACAAGATAAGGCTTTCAAGCTGACTGTACACAGCACTGGCTCTGCTTTCTTCCAAGGTCAGTCTGTCAGTACACTGCATATGTGAATGTCTCACCATATGACTGCTCCCATTAACTTCAGCATAAACCTAAACTCTCTGGCATGTCGTACAGATTCAGGGTCAATCAGCCCAAACCTATCTCTTGGCGCACACCAATTTCCCAACTGGCTTCTAGATTTCAATCAAGCAGGGACCTGTACTTTTCTAAAGAGTCACATTCTTCCATGTTGCCTTGTCCACGGCATTCTTCGACACCTTCACCAGCGAACTCCTTTCAAACTGACCCTACTGGAGTAAACTTCCCATCACTCCTGATCTGCCAGCCCCCTCCATCACTAGCCACAAGCCCTTATAGAAAAGCCTCTGAAAGATAGGACCATGTCTTTTATCAGTCTTTCCAAAATATCCAACATAGTGGGTGTCACAGACAAGATCTCAATACTATTTCTCTTTCTTTCTTTCTTTCTTTCTTTCTTTTTTTTTTTTTGTCAGTTGTGGGGCTTGAACTCTGGGCCTGGGCGCTGTCCCTCAGCTCTTCAGCTCAAGGCAAGTGCTCTACCACTTGAGCCACAGCACCACTTCCAGTTTTCGGGTGGTTTATTGGAGATAAGAGTCTCATAGACTTCTTGCCCAGGCTGGCTTTGAACCATCACCCTCAGATCTCAGCCTCCTGAGTAGCTAGATGACAGGCGTGAGCCACCAGCACCTGGCAAGACCTCAATAATATTTCTGAGAATCATTCATCTGAGTTTGAACTCTCTTATTTGGCATTTCAGACACCAAGTGATTCCCAAACAAAACAGCCATAAACAACATACATAAACTAAAGCTCTATCGATCACAAGAAAGTGTAAGAAGGACAAGAAATGTGGACAATATTAAGATGAATGAAGCTCCTCAGCTACACAATACATAGTCAAGTACAGGGGGAAACTATTCCTTCCACCTGCTTGAAGAGCACCTAACTAAAAGCATTTCTGGGTTGGGTTTCAAATGATTAAGTAGGAGTTCTTCAGTTAAAGGACAAAGTATCAAAAGGCACAATGATGAGGTATGAAAATATGAATCATGTGTGTGTTTGTGTTTATATGTGCGTGTTTTCAAGCCCCAGGGGCTTGAACTCAAGAGTTGGGTTACGGTCCCTCAGTTTCTTTTGCTCAAGGGTAGCACTCTACCACTCGAGTCACAGTTCTATTTTATAAAGAGTTTCACAGACTCTCCTATCCATGCTGGCTTCAAACCGTGATCCTCAGTAGCTAGGCATGAGCCACCCACCTCGAGCTTAATATTATTATTATAATTTTTGTCTGTCATGGGGCTTGAACTCAGGCCCTAGGTGCTCTTTTGCTCAAGGCTAGCACTCTACCATTTTAAGCCACGGCGCCATGTCCAGTATTTTGGTGGTTAGTTGGTGGTAAGAGTTTCAGGGGGACTTTTCTGCCTGAGCTGGCTTGAAACTATGATCCTCAGATCTCAGCTTCCTGAGTAGCTAGGGTTACAGGTGTGAGCTGCTGATGCCTGGCATTACTTTTACTTTTACTCAAATAATTATAGGATTGGGAACACGGCTCGAGTAGAATAGCACCTGTTGTGCTGCATAAAGCCTCAAGTTCAAACTTTGGTATCACAAAAATACAATAGTTATAGAAAGCATGAAGGCTAGGGGTGTGGCTCACTGGTAGAATGTTTGCTGCCTAGCATATGTGAGGCCCTTAAAAAATGAAGGGTCAGTTTTAAAAACCTTTTCATTATTTATACACACACAGATTACAAACTTTTACGTTTACAACATTTTGTTTTCATAAAATGGAATCACCCTAAAAAACAATGCTTTGCAACTTGCTTTTTTCCCATTCAACAGTATTCCATTTCTCATGTCATTTGCAGTGGCTTGGAAATATCCCAAGAAGGTGCTTGAGCTGAAGGCTTAGACCCTATGTACTGATGGAACCTCCAGGAAGAAGGGCTTTAGAGTGCATTTGAAGGAGACATTGGGACTTTGGCCCGTCTTTTCACCTCTTGACTCTCAAGAGGTGAAAAACCCTTCCCCTTCACATGCTCACTATACCTTGCCACAGACTCAAAAGCAATAAAGCCAACTAACCATGGGCTGAACCCTCGAGCCAAAATGAACCTTTTCTCCTCATTAAGTCTCAGATGTTCTGTCACAGAATAGGAAAGGGACTAACATATCATTATACCTAGTGGCATATCTGAATCAATTATTAGACCCTAATAACAGAGTCTGATTTATAAATCTTCTACTTATACGCTAACATGTAAGCAGAAAACAACACTAGCTTCTTTTATCTGTCTTACCTGAGGAGGCAATTTCTTCCCCTCTTTTCATTCCCAATCTCTTATATATTTCTCTCTCAGGATCAACACAGATTTCATGAGAATATCCAGTCAGTTTGCAGAAAGGCTGAAGAGAGTTGGAAATGTTATGAGTAAAGTAATGCTAATCAAAAAGTAGTAATAAACAATCTAGCTTTACCCACCCAATGGTTCAAATAATGCAATTTTTATATTTGAAACAGATTCAACCTATTTTCTCATCAATTTGCAAGATATTTACCTCAATATGATGGTAGGATGCCTGTCCAATCACTATAAGGGTGACATCTGCTTCCTTTAGGAGAAAAAGAGAATGTACATATTACTTCTCCTAATCCAGCTTTTTTTGTTTCATTCTAATGTCACATATAGGTTTGTAGAAGAATGAAAAAAACAGTGAAAGCATATTATTCAAAGCATACAGAGAAATGTTTGCTTACACAGAAATTTTTGCTAAAATGTTTACTTCACAGAAAGAATCCCAATACTTAAACATTGAGACCTAAACCTGTAAAACAATTAGAAGAAAACAGGGAAACAGCTCGATGATACTGGCTTTGGCGATGATTTCTTGGATATAATCCCTAAAACACAGGCAACAAAACCATAAACAGACAAGCAAGATTACATCAAATTAAAAAACTTGTGTACACAAAGGAAATGAGAGTGAAAAAGACATCGCATAGATTAGGGGAAAATAGTATGTAAAGAGATTAAAAATTTAAAAAACAATTAGAACAATTTTGAATGAAAGTCTAAAAATGGACAAAGCCAGGTATAATAAGACAAATACTGCATAATCGTACTATATATGGAATCAAACTTTCATCAGTGAGAGAACAGTGGCTGGGGGTGGGGGGAGGGGAAAGGGGAAAGGGGGTGGGGGAAAGGGGATAGGAGATGTTGCTTCAAGGATAAGAAAAGTTTTAGTTTGAAGAGTTTTAGAAATCTGCCAACAGCATGGTGACATAAGTAATACTGAATATTTTCAATTGCTAAAAAATAGATTGTAAGTGTTAAAGATATATGAAGTAGTAGCTTAACATTATAATTCTATAATGTTAAAATATATTAAAACAGGGCTGGGAAGGTGGCTCAGTGGTAGAGTGCTAGCCTTGAGCTGAAGAGCTGAGGGACAGCGCCCAGGCCCAGAGTTCAGGCCCCACGACCGGACCCCCCCCCAAAAAATATATCAAAACATTATCCCATAAACAAAAAGACAAAACGGGCCGCCACCGCTGGAGCCTCCGCGCGGCTTCCGGCTGCCTGCAGGTTGATGGGAGCTGTGCGGCCCGCGCTGGCTTTGAACCGCGGCCCGCGGATCTCGGCCTCCGAGTGGCGCCCGCTCCCGTCCTCCTCCTGCCGTGACCGTCATCGATCCGTGGTGCTCCCGCTCCCGTCCTCCTCCTGCCGTGACCGTCATCGATCCGTGGTGCTCCCGCTCCCGTCCTCCTCCTGCCGTGACCGTCATCGATCCGTGGTGCTCCCGCTCCCGTCCTCCTCCTGCCGTGACCGTCCTCGATGGTGCTCCCGCTCCCGTCCTCCTCCTGCCGTGACCGTCATCGATCCGTGGTGCTCCTTCTCCCATCCTCCTCCTGCCGTGACCGTCAGCGCATCGCGGGCAAACACCCTATGCAATAATGTGCAGCCGGCTGCCCCTGTGGAGCCGCGCGGCGGCGGCCTTTCACTGGAGGACGGCGGTGGGACCCCTGCGCGGGTGGGACCCCTGCGGGCTTCGCTTTGCTGCCAGTGCAAGCCAGGCTGCAGAGCCCAACAACCTTGCGTCACAAACACATCATCTTGAGCAGGTCCGCATGACCAAGACTGTTGATGCTTGTCACAGCGCTGCATCCAGTGTCATGGAATCAGTGTCTTCTGGGCCACTTTCCCTCTGGAGGAACAAGGCACAGTGTGTTCTAGGTCTTAGTTTCTTTTTTCATTTTTGAGGGTGGAACTAAGTGATTTTTATTGAATTACATAAAAGATGTATATTGTTGCGTTATCCAGGCCTTCAGCTCTAAAAGGACTTGCCTCAGAGATGTAGTTGTTTCTTAAACTTTGAATTTAGCATAGTGCTTAGAAAAGAGAATGCAGAGTGATAGCTACCCACAGGCAACCTTAGAGACGCTCAGCCTCATCAGAGTTAAGGTACGGCTCTCATTATTAGGAAGTTCAAGCTGTAGCTAAGTGTTTATAGACTCTCTCTTCTATTTGCATCTCTATCAGAGGGATCTATCTAATGTGCTCCACCTCCTAGAAGATTGCTTTCCACAGAGAATGGAGCATCCAGGTACCTGCTGGTTAAACAGGAGTTAGGGTGCCAGACTGGAAAGCAGTGCTGAGTATGCATGCCCAGTGTTTAGTGAGAACAGCCACCAGCACAGTCACATCAAAGTGAGGCATGCCGAGGGACAGAGGAACCTGCTGCGCTGGGCAGATATTACTGATGGCACATCTCCTCTCCCGTCAGGAAGGAGGCCTGAAACAGTTTCTTGGTGATGGAAACACAGGGGAAGTAAGAGAAATGCTAGCCATGAGGTCAGGTAGGTCTTAGTTTCCAAACCTGAGAGCGAGGTCTCTACAGAGGATAGGTTCTAGGTGCATTTCTACACCCAATTTCCCCCCCTTTAGGGGCACAATAACAGCAGGAACTGGAGTTGATCTCCTGCCAAGAGTTCAGTTCCATGTAAGGTCACATTCACAGGTACCAGGTGATGAGAGCATCCATATATGAACTTTGGGAACACAACCCATTACAATGTTCCTGCCTCTGCCAGCAGCCTCTACCTCCCTATTTGACCTCACTATTGATGGGGCTCCCCATCTCCTTCCTGCGCCCAGCAGATCACTGCTGGCCCTGACTGCTGGCTTGAGCTGACACTGAGAATTCACTGAGAGCTGGTGTAGGGGGAAGGGTCTCCTAGACTGTTAAGGTCCCAGACTGTGTGAGGAAAACTAAGCCGAGAAATTGATCCTTTACTAAAAACAAAGAGAGGCCATGAAGGGAGATCTTAAAGCTTATTTCACATGGACTTCTGCCCTATGTCATACCCTGCCCAATTAGAACGGTGCCTGCCGTGCAACGTTGTGCATCCCACCCCGTGATCGATTGCCTCCTGCTTCAAGGGAGTCGATGCCTCTGTGTGCACATTGTGTATCCTCCTGTAGCTATCTCTGTAATAAAGCTCCTGTAGCTGTCTTTGTAACAGCCCCCAGCTTCAAGGATGCAGGGCTATATGACATCATGTTTCCAGAATATACAAACCAATATATACAAAAGAATATCCACCTGCTTTGTGTGGGGACCCCAAATTTGCCCGCCAATTCAAGCCAGAAGGATAGGTTAGTTCAAACAGTTCCTAGGAGTCGGACTGTAACCTATTGGCCACGGACATAAACATGCAACCCTTATGTGGTGTTACAATCCCGTTGGCCACCTGTGTGTGGCCAGGCTGGACCATGTGGATGTTGCCTTTAAAAACCCTAGCTTGTGGGTTGTTCGGGGTCGCAGTTTCAGCTCCTGAGTCTGTGCTGTGTCCCTGGCCGGTTAGCTCTCCACTTCCCCAATAAAGTCATCTTTTTACGTGAGGCTGTCTGAGCAGTGGACTCCTTTCCCTGTAACACTGGGTCAAGACTGCTCTGGGGTTCGGACACTACAGTTTGCAGCAGGATCAGACAGGCTAGTCTGTCTCTGGCACTGAGGTTTTGGGACACTTCATCAGGGCTTCAAGTTTTACAGTGTCCTGGGCAGAAGTAGCTGCAGCTACAGGCTAGGAGGAGGAGCGGAGCTCTGCAGGGGTGGGGCAGGAGCAGGAAGTGAGCGGTCCAGGGGCGCGGCTTGTGGGAGGCCAAGGGTCCTGAGGACAGTGTGCATACCTAGAGCACCATCTGGTGGGAAGCAGTGGTCACTGCACCTCTCTGGTCCTGAGATGAAGAGGATCATGTGCAGGCCTAGAGCACCATCTGGTGGGAAACATTGGTCACTGCATCCCCTGGACCTGAGAAGAGGAGGATCATGTACACAGCTAGAGCACCATCTGGTGGGAAACATTGGTCACTGCAGCCCCTGGACCTGAGAAGAGGAGGATCATGTACACAGCTAGAGCACCATCTGGTGGGAAACATTGGTCACTGCAGCCCCTGGACCTGAGAAGAGGACGGTGCACACACCTAGAGCACCATCTGGTGGGAATAAATGGTCACTGAACCCCTCTCGTCCTGAGACGAGAAGGATTATGTACACAGCTAGTGCACCATCTGGTGGCAATCAGTGGTCACTGCACCCCTGGATCTGAGAAGAAGAGGACAGTGCACACACCTAGAGCACCATCTGGTGGGCATGAGTGAACATTGCATCCCTCTGGCCCTGAGACGAGGAGGATCGTGTACACACCTAGAGCACCATCTGGTGGGGATGAGTGGTCACTGCAACCCCTCTGGTCCTGAGAAGAAGAGGACAGTGCACACACCTAGAGCACCATCTGGTGGGAATTAGCACTCACTGCACCCCTTGGTCTTGAGGAAAGGAGGACGGTGAGCATGCCTAGAGCACCCTCTGGTGGGAAACAGCCCTCATTGCACCCCTGGTCCTGAGGAACAAGGTGTTCACCTGTCTAGCGTGCCCTCCGGTGGGAATCAGCCGTCACTGCACCCTAGGTCCTGAGGAGAGGACAGTGTGCAAGCCTAGAGCACCCTCTTGTGGGAATCAGTGCTCACTGTATCCTCTGGTTTTGTGGGTGGAGCAGAGCAAGAAGTGAGAGGTGCAGGGGTGGGGCTTGTGGAACAGCAGAGCACAGGAGGGGTGGAGCAAGAGCGAGGAAGTGAGCAGTGCAGGGGTGGGCTTGTGGGAGGACCTGGGGTCCTGAGGAGGACAGTACGCACCCCTAGAGCACCATCCGGTGGGAATCAGTGATCACTGCACCCCTGGCTGGGAGGAGAGGAACACAGTGTGCACACCTAGAGTGCCCTCTGGCGCACCCTCAGGTTTTGTGGGCAGAGCAGAGCACGAGAGAGGTGGGCAAGAGCCCAGAAGTGAGCGGCCCAGGGGCGGGGCTTGTGGACTGGCAGAGCACTAGAAGGGAGGGCAAGAGCTTGGAAGTGAGTGGTCCAAGGGCGGGGCTTGTGGAAGAGCAGAGCACAGGAGGGGTGTGGCAAGGGAGCAGAAGTGAGGAGTCCGGGGGGGGGCTAGTGGGAGGCCCTGGGGTCCTAGGAGGATGGTGTGCACACCTAGAGCACCATGTGGTGAGAATCAGTGGTCACTGCACCCCCTGGACCTGAGAAGAGGAGGACATTGCACACACC